GGGCACCAAATCTCATTATAGATGGTTGTGAGCTACCATATGGTTGCTGGGAATTGAACTCAGGACCTTTGGAAGAATAGGCAGTGCTCTTAACTGTTGAGCCATCTCTCCAGCCCCTACTGATAGTATTTGTAATAATTTATGTTTGTGAAATTATACTATATTGATACCAGGTGATGGTGGTGCATTACTTTAGTCCCAGCACTCGGAGGCAGAGGTAGGTGGATTTCTGTGAGTTCAAGGCCAACTGGTCTACAGAGCAAGTTCCAGGATAAGTTCCAAAGCTACAGAGAATCCCTGTCTTGAAAAACAAAATACAAACAAAAAATTATACTATATTGAGTTGCTTCTTAGATTTGAAAATAATGGAATGTGGATTTTTCTCTATTTGCTTTTGCTAGAGGATTAGAGAATGGAATTATTTCATACTTTAAAATATAAATAAATCATATCTTATTTTTAGCTATTAAGTTGACTTTCTAGATTATTGCAGCTTTTGAAAAGATTATCCTGTGGTTCTTTGTAAATCTAAATATTTACTTACATTAACCTAAAATTTACTAATTAATTCCACTTAGGGAATTTTTCTTGAGTAACAAGTTTTTGTTGACTAAAGTGTATTAAAACATTTTGTTCATTTGTAGATGCTTCCAGATGTTCCAAGTTATCCACCAGCTTACTACTAGTGCTGAGGATATTCTGATGGTGAGACATGGAAGGAGTTTAGAATGTTGAATTTTGAAGCAATGAATGTCTCTCATTTCATATGACCTTTTGCTTTCATTAGGGCCCAATGAAAACGTTTTCTTTTTTTCCTTCTCAGTTTCTTTTTCCATTGATTTTTAAATTTTTTTTCTTTAATTTTAAGGCTTAAGGGCCTTCCTTATTTATTTATTTATTTACTTACTTACTTATTATGTATATGTATAATATACAGGCCAGAAGAGGGCACCAGGTGTCATTACAGATGGTTGTGAACCACCATGTGGTTGCCGGGAATTGAACTCAGGACCTTTGGAAGAGCAGGCAATGCTCTTAACCGCTGAGCCATCTCTCCAGCCTGATTTTTAAATTTTTTGTAATGACAACTCTTTTAAAAATCGTTGTAAGACATTGGCCTAAGCTAGCCTGAAGTCTGTTATTGTTAAAGAAACAAGGAAGAGGAAAAGCAAGACGTGGGAAAGAACCAAGATCCGCATCTTCTATTAGATAGGGAATAATAATGACAGGAAAGCCTGATCCTGTTTCCAAGTATGGCACGTCATTAGATACATGGTAGCTGGAGAGACAGCTCCGTGATTAAGAGCACTGGCTGCTCTTCCAGAGGACCCAGGTTTGATTCCCAGCACCTACGCTGTGCCTTTCAACCCTCTGTAACTTCACTGACATCTTTTTCTGGCTCCTGTGGCACTGCATACACATGGTGCACAGACATACAAGAAGGAAAAACATTTGTTCACATAAAATAAAAATAAACCTTCAAAAATAGAAATATTCGACCTTAGATGGGATTACACTATTCATTCCTCTCTCTTTGCTTTTGCTTTTTTTCCCACATAGCCCAGGCTGGCCTCACACATTCTCTGTAGTTGAGGCTGCCCTGACACTCCTAACTCCTAGTCTTCCTGTCTCCATTTTCAAGTGCTGGGATTACAGGTGTTCACCACCATGCCCAGGTCATTAAGGAAAATGTGGCACATGCTTATACTTCAGCTCTCAAGAGGCTTACAGATTCAAGGCCAGCCTGGACTACATAGCAAGACTGACACCTCCTTCCTACTTCTGTCTCACACACAAAATAAAAGGGAAAAAATGAATAGATGAGTAGTTCAGTGGTAGAGGACTTGCCTGGTATGAAAGAGACCCTGGGTTTGAAATCTCTACCATACCTGCATGGCAGTACAGAAAAGGAAGAAAGAAAAGGCAAATAAAAAAATGCAGTCTGGGCTCTGGAGAATTAAAACTTTGAACTAGTCGGTTTCTTTTTGTGATAAGTATGCTAATTGTATTGATTCCCTTTTAGAGAAGAATTAGCTTCAATAATTTGGTTCAGGAAGCGTTGACTGTGTACCCCCAGTGTTCTAAGCACTATACCAAATAGGAAGAGACAACAGATAGACTCCCTGCTTCTGGGGGTTTATGGGAGGTTGGAGAAGGAGTCCTGCCAGTAGATGGATTTATATAATAGGGTAAACCATCTGTTGGAGACGTGCACAGGGATTTTAGGCATCTAAAAGGATGTCATCTCATTAGCTGCTCAGCAGCTAACAGAACATTGCTAGCAGTGTCTATCACGAGGACTCAGGTCGTACTGTATTGTGGATATTGCAGGGCAAATAATGAGCTTTATTGCACCATTGGTCGAGTAATGCTATCTTCACCGTCATCTTGTTTCAGAATGAAAGTTGGCGGAAAGCTCTCAGATGAGACATAAAGATTCTGTGCACTTGGTTTAGTGCCGCTGGCATGATCACCAAGTGATGACAGTGAGCCATATAGATATGCCTGGAAAGGGGATCTTGTTTGTTCCTTACTTGCTTGGTTTTCAAGACAGGGTTTCTCTGTGTAACAGTCCTGACAGTCCAGGAACTCACTTTGTAGACCAGGATGGCATTGACCTCACAGAGATCTGCCTGCTTCTGCTTTCTGAGTTCTGGGAGTAAAGATGTGCTCCATCACACATCTGACTAAAAGAGGGACTCTTAGTTGATAGAATGCCTCCATAAGATTGGTCTGTAGGAAGTTGATTGGGCATTTTTTGATTAATGATTCACGTGGCAGGGCTCGGCACTCTGGACAATGTATCCCTACTGAGCAAGCCTTGAGAAGTAAGCCAGCAGGCAGCACCCATCCATGGCTTCTATTTCAGTTTCTGCCCACGTCCAGGCCCCTGCCCTGACTTCTGTCAGTGATGGAGTGTGACTTGAGAGTTGTAAGCTCCCCAAGTTGCTTTTGGTCATAGTGTTTTATCACAGCAATAGAAACCCTAACTAAGACATGGGGCTCCCTTAAACTCTAGTCTAGGTGACCTATGTATAATGTGAAAGAGTCAGGTTCTACAAAGACCAGACCTGGTGGCCCATGCCTTTAGTCCTAGCATTTGAATGGCAGAGGCAGATGGATCTCTGTGAGTTCGAGGCCAGCCTGGTCTACAGAGCAAGTTCCAGGACAGACTCCAAAGCTTATCTCAAAACAAAACAAACAAACAAACAAAAGTGGCCTGGGCTTGCAGCTCACTGGAGCCCTGCTTGCTCAGTGCCTCTGCATACTTCCCAGCACCCTTCATCAAAAAAAGCAAGAAGAGAGAAATGAAATGTAGCTTACCTAAAGTCACACACCGGAAATGAGAGTAGTGTCTCTTCCAGAGCCCGTATACTTTCCTGTTGAGGATTTAACTGATTGGACTGTGTTCTGTCTGGAACAAGAATGGGAATAGATGAGAGAGCCAGCCCCCTAACAGCGGCTCTCAACATCTGGTTTCTCTTTTGGTCTCAGTGGAACAGGGTTAGTTGGGCCTTCCTGGTTGTAGTTCTCAGCCTGCGTCGATGAGGCCGTACTTTGTTATAGCAGTGGCCGCAAGTTGGTGTTCTTGGGAGTAGTCCCCAGAGGGTCCAGTGCCAACAGCGCTGGAAGCTTCAGGTTCGTTCTCTGTGAGGCAACAATGTATCTTGTGTTGTCTATGAGTGACATGATTTTGAAGGCTATAGTGTTGCCTTGAGCAGGGCAGTCCCTGTCTGATTTTCTAGCCTGTATTGTGAATTGAACTATCCATTCCATTATTAAAAATTCCTTTTCTGACAGGGTGGTGGTGGCACCTGCCTTTCACCTAGCACTTAGGAGGTAGAGGCAGAACAAGTTCCATGACAGCCAGGGCTACACAGAGAAACCCTGTCTCAAAAAAAAAAAACAAAAAATAAACAACAAAAAAAATTTCTTCTTGACTTTTGTGAGGGCAAAAAAGTGGGTGCAGACATTGTATTGCTATGAATTCACGAAGTGCCATCCTGTTAGGTGTCTGCAGAGCCAGCCAACACTTGTTCTTTTGTTAAGATGCTGTCCTTGCAGGTTTGTGTGCACACAAAGAAGATTAAGATTAGTTTAACAACTGAAGGGCCAACTAGGGCAGATGTGTGGGATCTTCAAACTGGTCCCTTTCCCCATCTAAATTTGGTGTTTCTTAGGATTGATGGCAGAAAGGAAGAATGTCCCTTCAGCAATTTTTGGATTGTTAGACTTGTACTGTATTAGATAGTTTGACTTTATTTATCACACACTTTCTTTGCCTAAGGGGAATTTTCCCAAGTACCTCAGAGAAAAAGTTGGCCCTGCTAGAATTTGGTGAAAAATACAAGGCATTCCTCCATAACTTGCTAAGAACCCTAAGCCATGACCTTAGCTAACACGCAAGTCATGTCTAATCATCATCAGTAGAGCCGTTTACTTCTTTGTCTGTGCATTTCCCAACACCATGCAAACACTGAGTGACTCCAATGACTTTGACTCATTTCTCTGTTTTCTCTGCCATTATAAACACGAGAAAGTCAAGGAGAAAAAAAAGCCAGGTTTGCCACTAGGCAGACAGGCAGGAGAATCAAATGAGTTCAAGGCTCACCTAAACTACCTGTCTCAAAAATTAAAAAAAGAAAAGAAAGGAAGAAGCATGGCTAATCTGCAGACTTAGTTTTCCCATGGGAATGGGGTCATGTGATCTGCTGCTGAACTGACGTGTCTGCCTTAGGGATGGACAGAGCAGGCCATCCCTATACCTGGGAGAGATTCCCTACTTCCTTTGCCAGCCAAATTTAATAAATGAAATGAAACGGAAGCACTTGGCCCTTCATTGGGCACCGTCCTCCGGCACGGCCAACACTGTGTACACTGTTTTTATTACCAGGTCACAAAGGATGTCATTAAGGAATTTGCGGACGATGGTGTCAAGTACCTGGAGCTGAGGAGCACACCCAGAGGAGACGGTGCCACTGGTAGGGTTGAACTCCTTCTCAGTGGATGTGCTGTCCTGTGGCCATGGGTTCTGATCACACAAGGTTCCTGTTTGCTTCCATCGCTCAACAGTGTACACTAGTGATGCTTAAAATGGCATTTAAAAAATATACGTGGTGGTGTTGAATTTCAGGTCCAGTGCCTCATATTGCAGGCGAGTGACTACTCCTGAGCCACAGTGATGCTTGTGGCTCATAAGTTGTTCTTAAACGAAAAGTAGAAAACCCACTTGGTCACTCTTTGATAAAGAAGAGGAAATCGCGTTTAGGGTTTTGTTTTCTTCACGAAAAGGACGCAGCATGTGAGGAGACAGCTCAGTCAGAAAGTTCTTGTTCTGCAAGCATGAGGGTCTGAGTTCAAGATCCAGAACCCATATAGAAGGCTGGCCACAGTGTTCTTCTAACACAGCCCGAGGCAGGTGGAGCCAGTCAGCAGGTAAGCCCTGTGCTAGTGAGAGTCTGCCTCAGAAAACGGCGAAAGACACCCGAGGAGGATATCTAGGGCTGTCCTCTGGCCTCCACACAGATTTGCACATCCACACACACATACACACAAAGAACATCACCTACGCATTGTCTCCAGTAGAGGCTGGTCTTGCTCCTGCACTTGGGAAGTAATGTCACTAAGTGGTTATAGAATGCCATGTTATGGCCGTCACTGAAGGGTCAGATATTCATTGACTCCTTAGAGAATGGTTAGGAGCAAGTTGTAAAGTGTTCAACCCTCTGGGGACAGAGTTGAGCTGGATGTGGTTTAGCAATTTCATAGAAACTTCCATAAGAGCTGTCTGGACAGGCATAGTGCCTCACACCTGTATCACTCTGAAGGCAGAAGTGAGAGAAGAGTGACTCGGCCTGCCCTTGCCTACATGGCCAGACTCTCAGGACAGAGGGAGGTTGTTTTGTTTTATAATCAGGAGACATTATATATTATCATTGAGTCCCTCTTGACCTGAAGAGACATGGGTTATCTTACACCAAAGCATGTGTAGCCAGTGAAGAACTATTTGAAGCTGTTAAAGTAAATGTCAAATGGGAAACAGAGATTCTTAATCTCAGTTTTAAATTGTAGAATCGGTTTCAAGTTATACAGTGTGGTATGTGCGTGCCCATGTGTGGGAATATACACACAAAACATGAATAAATAAACTAAGAAAAATATATTTGCAGCCAGATGTGATGGTACACACCTTTAATTCCAGCACTTGGGAGGTTGAGACAGGCGGTTCTCTGTGAGTTTGAGGCCAGCCCATTCTATATAGGGAGTTACAGGCCAGCCAGAGCAACATAGTGAAACCCTATCTCAAAAAAATAAAAAAAAAAGTTGTTGCAAAGACACTTCTAGGCTCCCAATTACTGAATCTGTAAAGCTAATGGTGTTTCATCTGCTAACATACGCATGTGTGCACAGTTGTAAATAAGATGTAGTTATCTGTCGGTAGTGGGATTGTGGCTACTTTTTATTCTTTATAATTTTCTGTTATACTGAAAGTTTTCTGTCAAAAAAAAAAAGCATTTATGACCAGTAAAAACAGAGGCTTTTCTGGAACAGTCTTATGAGGCACCCCAGAGAAGACGTGAGCACTCTAAACTTGGATTGACATCTCTGAGGCCGTGAATGAGAGGCACACCCTGAGCAGGGCTGAGGGAAAGGAACATGGGGTTTGCTTTTTTGTTTGTTTTGTTTTGTTTTTTGTTTTTTCCCCCTCCAGTGGAAGAAAAGTATCCTGCTAAAGGAGAAAATTTTTTATTTATTTATTTGATTATTTTGAAACAGTGTCTTTGTAGACCAGGCTGCCCTAAAACTTCAGATCTTCCTACCTCAGAACACCAGATGCCAAGATTAAGGTACCGCCACCATGACTGGCCCTTAATTACTTTTTTTTCTTTATTTATTATGTAGACAGTATTCTGTCTGCATGTATGCCTGCAGGTCAAAAGAGGGCGCCAAATCTCACTACAGATGGTTGTGAGCCACCATATGGTTGCTGGGAATTGAACTCAGGACCTCTGGAAGAATAGCCAGTGTTCTTAACCTCTGTGCCATCTCTCCAGCCCTAATTACTTTTTTTTTAAGTTAAAAAGTTACTATTTTTGTGTAAGGAACATGCCATAGCACATATGTGGAAAAAGAGGACAAAGATTAATTTTCAGTTAGGCCTGTATTGCTTGTCATTTTCTATTTTCTGTCTTTTATTACTTATATGTTTGTTTATAAACGTTTTTATAAAACACTTATTATTCCTAACATTGGTTTTGGTTTTTTCAGTTTTGCTGAAGTCCAGTCGTTAGCTGAAATGACCTGCTGTGATAGCACTTGTAATGGCGGGGAACTCTGAAGAGGTGAAGGTGTATGAGGGTTGGGAGTGAAGTCAGCCTGGGCCACATCGTTCAGGCATAAGAATGCCACTCAGTGGTAGAGCACTTGCCTCGTACACGTGATGTCTTAGGTTCAGACTCCAGGTCCATGGACAGACAAAGAATGCTATATTTAAGTTTCCCTGTAGGGCCAGAGAGATGGCTCAGCATTTAAGAGCCCTTCTGCTCTTTCAGAGGACCAGTTTGGTACTCACACCCATATCAGGTGGGTTTACCACAATCTGTAATCCGCCCCAGGAGCTCTGACGCCCTCTTCTGGCCTCTTTGGGTACTCATACACATGTGTGTATATGCACACACACAAGATAAAATATTTTCCCAAAAGCCTATGATTCACCTTTAGCCAGGCTCTGGCACAGCAGGATGCTGTCTGAAGGATGAAGTAGGTGGTAAAGTCTTTACATATGTTGCTCTGCACTCTTTCCAGGAATGACAAAGAAGACTTACGTGGAATCCATACTTGAAGGCATAAAACAGTGCAAACAAGAAAACTTAGATATCGATGTTAGGTAAGAAGATGGTGCATTAATAATACCCTTTAAAAAAACAGAATATAATGTTTTACTGTCTCATAAAGGTGATGGATTTTTTTTAAAAAAAATCAACTATTATCTATTTTTACCTAAAATAGAAAAAATAAAATCAAGACCCCTGTCGCTAAGATGAGAATACAATTCTGAATTTCGTCATCTGGCAGTTAAATTCTAGTATTTTTACTCAAGTCGAGTATGGCCTCTCATTGCTGCTGTGCTGAAGTGGGCTTCCTATAGCCACCCACACAGTCCCACATGATCTGGCTGTTTGGTCTCTCTCCAGTAGGCTCAGACTATCCTCAGTGCCTTGCACTCTCTGGCACTTCTGCCTTCCATCATGTCCTTACACATCCACTTCTCGTTATTCAGCTCTCAATTTGGCTGTCATTCCTTAGAGCGGCCAGTCTGTCCGGCATGCTCCTGGCCCCCAAGTCCCTCCTCACCCATGTTCCTCTTTGGCATTAGTGTGTATTGTCATGGAGTATACAAGCCCTTTGACTGGAGTGTAAGTCCAGGGAAGCCCGAGTCCTTGTCATTGATTTACTACTACATCCAGTACTTTGAACAAAGCCAGAAGATGGTGAGATAGGAGGTGAAGACAGGCAGATCCCTGGAAGTTCACAGGTCAGCTAGCTTTGGCCTACATGGGGATGTTCCAGGCCAACGGGAGACTCTGTCTCAGACAAAAGGTAGGTGCTTGAGGACCCACACTGATTGCCCTCTGACCTCCACATGCCCAATATCCTGCCTGTACTTGCGTCCTTTACAAATGGTCACACTGCTGGGCGGTGGTGGCACATGCCTTTAATCCCAGCACTTGGGAGGCAGAGGCAAGCAAATCTCTGGGAGTTTTGAAGCCAGCCTGGTATACAAGAGCAAGTTCCAGACAGCTAGAACTGTTACACAGAGAAACCCTGACTCAAAAAAACAAAAAACAAAAAAAAAAAAAAAACAAATGATAATGCACACACCCATGCACACCATGGGAGATAAGAGATACAGTGCCTGACAAAAACTGCAGATTTAGATCCTGAGTAAAACTAAAAACAAAACTCCCAAAGATATAAACAGAAAGGTGAGATTATTGGAAATTGGAATAGACTAGATACTGATACTACTTAGACATTCATGTCTCATTCTGTGTATACAGTGTCGTGTTTAGACTCACTGCCTTTCAGAGTAAGCTATATTACAACTAGCCAGCCACTTTTTATGGCAATATTTAGAATTGTCTTTTTTATATGCATCATAGTTTTTCAAATGGTGATTTTTGGTTGGTTTTTTTTTTTTCATTTTGTTTGATACAAGGTCTAGACATGGTCTATTGTGGCCCAGGCTGGCCTCAAACTCCATCCATTCTCAGATATTTTGTGGTTATAAGTTGCTTTATACTAAGCACTGTCAATGAGGCGGCGAAGTTCATAGGAAAAGGCATATGACTATAGGTAGCCCTCTCCGGACTTAGTTGATTTTAGATTGGTGGAATATTTTTGTTTTAGTTTTTTGTTGTTGTTTTGTTTTGTTTGTTTGTTTGTGTTAGAGATGGGTCTCATGCATCCCAGATTGGCCTTAAACTGACTTTTTAGCCCAACATGACCTTCCTGCCTCCACCTTCCAGACACTTTGATCACAGCACATATACACCCATGCCTGACTTCAACTGTGATTTTCTTGTCGTAAGACCTTCCTGCCAGGTTAGTATCAATGTGTTATCTTATATTCCAGGTATTTGATGGCAATCGACAGAAGAGGTGGCCTAACGGTAGCCAAGGAGACTGTTGAACTTGCTAAAGAGTTCTTCCTCTCTACTGAGGATACAGTTCTTGGCCTTGACCTCAGTGGAGACCCTACTGTAAGTTATTATATTTTATCTCTCAGTGCAGAATCAGTCAGTGGGGTGAGGCTTAGTTTGGAGCATCACACATTAGGGGCCAGCATGTTGGAGCCCACAAGACCATACGGTAAATGTGCAGCTGACAGATTCATAAACAAGTGGACAATTTATGGGGCACCCATTCTGCAGAGCTGCGGGAACACTTGTCTTTTGGAAAAGTCACTGTCATATCTGTGGGAACCTTGTGAAGCCACGATTCTTCCCTTCAAAATGGGATTCATTTCCAGAACACCTCAGCAGTGTAACCTCTGCACGGACAATGGATTGACCTTGCTCCATTCCTCCACACCACAAGGCCTTAGAGCGATAACATTCACTCTTTGTTCTAACAGTCAAATTTACAGAGTCAGTGCCCCAGAATTACCTGCTAACAGACCACATAGTAATTTCTATAGAAGACAGGACTGAGCAGGAAGGCAGCATGCCCCACCTTTGCTAACAAACAAATCTGGGCATCCCCAAAGCTGGTTATTACAAAAGAGATTAGATGAGAAGAATGAGTGAACTCAGGATGCAGGGACGTTTAGTAACTAGTGGTTTGGGGTGTCAGGTACTTCCCCTTGAATGCTGGCTCCTTCCTGGGTGGTGTCATCTGTTCCAGGGTACAGTCTTGTTAGGTTCTACCTGCCCTTTTTGTGATTTTGATATGCATATTATCAGTATCTTTGCCTTTGAAATTTTCCAACTATGTCTGTAAAAACCAGAACCCTCGTGGAGATGTCCCTTATTCTTCCCCTTATTCTTCCTCTCCTCCGTCCCCCTTTCTCCCATCACATGAAAAATAAAGCAGATGCAGATATAACGTGCTTGTGTTAATGTTTTTACCCTCAGATCCTCGCCTGCCATAGGCATCCAGTTTCTGAGCCCTGAGGCTGGTACTCAAGGCCCCCATACCAGCAGACACCTAACGGAGCCCTGTTCTGCCTAGATCAGCAGAATGTATAGCATAGCATTTCTTAAGGGTTCTTGAAAGAAATACTGTAAAATTACATTATAGATATATGATATATCTATAAGTAAATATATAAATAAATTATACATATTATTAGATATGACCACCCTGTCCATTCTTCTAAAGATAGTATACAACTAGTACAGGCTTTGTACCCAGAAGTTAATTCCATCATGTATGATGGATAGATAAGGGTGTTAAGAGTGGCACACGTGTGTGGTTGCACATTTGTGTGCTTGTGTGTGTTGTTGTTGTTTTTAATCATGAAAGCTTCCTAAATCAAATGAGTTCCCCATAATCCTAAATATCTGTGTGAAATAAGAATTTTGGCCCATCATACCCAACTTGCTTATTGACCTGAGTTCACTGGTACTGAACTCAAGAGTAGCCTTTCTATGGTGTATTCCCTAAGGGGTCTAGCACATTAAAGGCTCTCTATAAGCAAGAGGTTCAAATGAACCAATCTGCCATCATTTTATCCCTTATTGGGGTAGAACACCAGATGCCTCAGTTTGCTGGGTATTCTCATGAACCCTTCTTTTATCTTCAAGATAGGACAAGCAAAAGACTTCTTGGAACCTCTTTTAGAAGCTAAAAGAGCAGGTCTGAAGTTGGCATTGCATCTTGCAGAGGTAAATAATATTGTCATAGAATGGAGAGGGCAGATTATAATTTAAAAAATAAAGTTGTTTGTAAATAACTACAGAAATAGGCTTATTTTGGGGAAAACATTTTTGTTTTGTTTTGTTTCTCTCTTTCTTACTTTCTCTCTCTCTCTTTTCTCTCTTTTTTCTCTCTCCTCTCTTCCTCTCTTCTCTTTCTTTTCTCTCTCTCCTCTCTCTCTCTCTCTCTCTCTCTCTCTCTCTCTCTCTCTCTCTCTCTCTCTCTCTCTCATTTTTGAGAGACAGGGTCTCATGTAACCCAGACTGGCCTGGAATTAACTTTGTAGCTGAGGATGTCCTTGAACTTCTGATCCTTCTGCCCCTCTCAAGTGCTAGGGTTGTAGGCATATGTTACTGTGCTGTTTAGAAGAACATTTTAAAAGGGGGAATTAGAAGTATTTTTAAATGTTAATTAAAACATTAAGGCATGATTTGCTTTAATGTTACTGTTTTTAAGTTTTTGTGGTTCCTATTACATTGTGACTAGTTATTTCTGGCCTGTGCTTTGGGTTAGAATTTGCTAGGTATCTTAATTTCTTATTTGCTGCATTGAATATGAAATGGTTTATTTAAAAATATTTTGGTCCTTTGCCTTCTAGTCCATCTAGGAGAAAGAGAGCATAACTGGACATTTCCTAATTGTGGTCTGTTCACAGATAGCCTTGTCAAAGGAAATGCGAGCACACAGAGGGGAGTGTGTGGCCTTGCAGTCTAGTGGACTAAAGTCTCATCCTTATCCCACCACCTCAGATTGTGAACAGTGTCTTCAGAATATTTTGTTTTGACTGAAAGTTTTCTACACCTGAAGAAATTTCCAGTATTAGGGATTATAGTATCAAAGCAAAAGGCTGTAAAATCCTGCTAAGAGGTGGTATTAAATTAGGTGTCTATATTTCTCTACTTTTTTCCTAACACATGTGAACACATGTACACACACACATACAGAAGTAAGGGGGTTTGTTTTGTTTGTGGAAATACATTTTTCTTAGCTTTTACTTTTTTTAAAAAAAAAATTTCATGACAGGTTTTCTCTATATGGTCCTGGCTATCCTGGAACTCACTCTGTAGACTAGGCTGGACTTGAACTCATAGAGCTCAGCCTGCCTTTGCCTTCTGAGTGCTGGGATTAAAGGGCCACGATAGTCTGGCTAGTTTTTACTTCTTTATGTTTATACTTCATGAGATTATTATTAGGCGGTAGAAGATTGATAGAGCTGAGGAGGCTTGAGGAGGTTTAAGAAATTCTGATTTTTAAAAACATTGGTGTTCACTACTCAGAAGGCAGAATAAAATATCTCCGATACTGGCAGAGACCATTCATCCCCTCTTATCACTTTTCTGAAGATTCCAGATAAGAAAAAAGAAACACAAATGCTGCTGGATTTGCTTCCTGACAGAATCGGGCATGGAACATTCCTCAACTCCCCTGAGGGAGGCCCTATGGGTCATGTGGATTTTGTGAGGCAACACCGGATACCTCTGGGTAAGACAGTTTCATGTCGCCCTGACAACCCTCTTGCCCTGCTTCCTCCAGGCCCCAGATTACAAGATTTATGTGGGAAAGTACTGTACTAAGATGCAGATATTTGCAAATTAAGTGTGTACGTGCTTTCTGGGTCTTATTGACGTGCTGAAAGTTTTAGCTTTTATTTGAAGTTTCATGATGGCAGGGCTCTCTCTGTCTGTCTCTTACCCTGGCTGTGTTCATCTTTACTGACTACTACAATCCCTAGTGCTGGGAACTAAGTCTTTGGCTGTTTTTGTTTTGTTTGTTTAAGAAGTAAAGGTCATAGGCTGGACAGTGGTAGATCGCACGCTTTTAATCCCTAGCATTCTGGAGGCAGAGGCAAGCGGATCTCTGTGAGTTTGAAGCCAGCCTGGTCTACAGAGCTAGTTCCAGGACAGGTTCCAAAGCTACACAAAGAAATCCTGTCTCGGAAAAACAAAACAAAACAAAACAAAAACACAACAAAATAAGCAAGCAAACAAATAAAAGTAATAAAGATCATTTAGAATTTTGAAGATGATTATAATAAAATTAACACATGGGTCCAATGAGATGGTTCACAGGTGGAGATGTATACTGTCAACCATGATGACCTACCTGAGTTCTGTCTGGGTGACTCACAGGGTCCTCTGATTCTCTCTCTCCCTCTCCCTCTCCCTCTCTTCCTCCCTCCCTCCGTCCCTCCCTCCCTTCCTCCCTCCCTCCCTCTCTAAATAGATGTTAAAAAAATAAAAATGTTATGGAAATGTGTAACATTTACTTAAAAATTAAGTATTACAGGGCTGTAGAGATGGCTCAGAGGTTAAGAGCACTGGCTGCTCTTCCAGAGGTCCTGAGTTCAATTCCCAGTAACCACATGGTGGCTCACAACCATCTGTAATGAGATCTGGTGCCCTCTTGTTGTGTGCATGCAGAACACTGTATACATAACAAACAAACAAATCATAAAAAGAAGAAAGAATTACCCAGGCTTGGTGGCACAGGCCTATATTCCTACCTTTTGGGAGGCGGAGGCAGTAGGATTACTAGTTTGAGACTGGCCTAGATTACTCAGGAAAACCTGTCTCAAAAATTCAGGAAGTGGGGTTAGAGAGATTGCTCAGCAGTTAGGAGCAATGGGTGTTCTTCCAGAGGACCTGGGTTCGATACCTAGAAACCATATGGGTGCTCACAATTTGTGTCACTTCAGCTCCAGCAGATCTGACACTCTCTGGCCTCCCTCCTCAGGCTCTGGGCACACTGTAGTTCTGTTTGGTTGTTTGTTTGTTTGCTCCCAGATAAATAAATGGAGACTTATTCTTACTTAGGAATGCCTGACTTCTGCTTGGCTTGTTTCTAACCATCTTTTCTAACTTAAATTATCCTGATTCTCTAACTACATTTTGCCTCTGGGCTTTTAAACCTTACTTTATTCTATATATCTTTTTTTCCCTCTTACTCTGTGGCTGGGTTGTGGCTAGGTGACTGGCCCCCAGCATCCTCCTCTCCTATTTATTCTCTCTGCCTGTCATCCCCACCTATTTCTCTCTTCGGCCTTGTTATTGGCTGTTCAGCTCTTTATTAGACCAATCAGGTGTTTTAGGCAGGCAAAGTAACACAACTTTTCAGAGTTAAACAAATGCAACATAAAAGAATGCAACATATCTTTACATCATTAAACAAATATTCCACAGCATAAATGAATGTAAAACATCTTCAACTAATATTTCACAACAGTGTACTAGCAGCACATAGACATGCACAGGTAAAACAACCATACACATAAAATAAAAATTTTAAGACATGTTAGAAATCAGGGAAATTGTAAACCTATTTTTATATCCTGACTGACCATTGCACATGCGATTGTGAATATGGTTGGTGACTGTTTTTATATCCTGACTGACCATTGCACACGCGATTGTGAATATGGTTGGTGACTGTTTTTATGTCCTGACTGACCATTGCACACGCGATTGTGAATATGCTGTGAGTGACTACTTTGCTGTCGTCGTTACACCATTTGCTGAGAGTAGAGCCATAAAGAAAGACATTTTCTTCCTGTAAAAACATCCCAAAATGGGGGCTGGAGAGATGGCTCAGAGGTTAAGAGCACTGACTGTTCTTCCAAAGGTCCTGAGTTCAATTCCTAGCAACCATATGGTGGCTCACAACCATCTGTAATGGGGTCTGGTGCCCTCTTCTGGCCTGCAGACATACATGGAAGGAATGCTGTATACATAATAAATAAATATTTAAAAAAAAATCCCAAAAAATCAGTTATAGGCCAGGTGTGATAGCGCATTCCTTTAATCCCAGCACTTGGGAGGCAGACAATGGTGGATCTCTGTGAGTTCAAGGCCAGCCTGGTCTACATAGTAAGTTCCAGGCCAAACATAGTGAGACCCTGTGTTCAAACAGCAGTGGATGTGACGCTCTGTGAGGGAGTGTGACAGGCTGTGGTCTTCCTTCCATCACCGTGAAGAGAGCAGTAACTCCTTGCCAGGTACAGCTGCTGACAGCGATAACAGGTATCTCTGTACAAGTATCTCTGTGTTTGTATGCAGTGGTGGAGGACAGTGCAGAGGCTTGCCCATGAGACACACTCATTCCTCTGCTAAGCTACACCCCAAATGGGAACTACAGTTTCCTATTACACATAATAAACAGTACATTTTGTGGAATAATGAAACTGATTAAATCAGCAGAGTTTGCAAAGTTTTTCTGAGAGTCTTCCTGGTGCTCACTGAATGAGTTCACTTACTTGCTTTTAATAGGATTTTCCCCTTTCATCTAGAACTTTGTTTGACCTCAAACATCAAAAGCCAGACAGTTCCATCTTATGACCAGCATCACTTTGGATTCTGGTACAGCATTGCTCATCCTTCTGTGATCTGTGTAAGAAGTATTCTATTCTCACTCCTACTCGGTTGCTACATGAAGTCATATGTTTATTATCTTGCTGATTACCTTGAGTTCCTGAAGGAAATGCCCAGCAATGGAGCTAGAGGGGGATGGGGAAGCTGCAAAGGGTTCGGGTGATAACGGGTTTGGTTCTCAGAAGCAGTAAAGCAGTATCTGGTGAAACCTTAAAAAAAAAAAAAGTAGGCTAGCCTTGTCTACAAAGTGAGTTTCAGGATAGGATAGCCAAGACTGTTACACAGAGAAACCTGTCTCAAAAAGAAAGAAAGAAAGAAAGAAAGAAAGAAAGAAAGGAAGGAAGGAAGGAAGGAAGGAAGGAAGGAAGGAAGGAAGGAAGGAAGGAGAGAGAAAAGAAAAAGTGCAGGTGCCTAGTACTCATCCAATAGGTCCTGCTTTATTTGATCTGGGATGAGTCCTGGGCTTAGATAAGCTTTAAAAGCTCTTTCTTTGTTTGTAATATGCAGCCAGGGTTAAAATACTCTGGTCTTTTTTTTTTTTAAGTATAAACAAGTTTGTTACAGATGAGCATTTATAAGTTCCTTTTTAGACTATTGAAAGAAGCATGGGAAAATAGATTCTGAACCAAAAAAGGTTAGTTTTTACAAGGCACTTCTTTATGTTGAACTGTTCTTGTTTATTGGCAGACCGATGACAAGGGTGTCTTTTCGACAAACCTTTCTCAAGAATACCAACTGGCAGCAGAAACATTTAATTTGACCCCGTCTCAAATGTGGGATCTGTCTTATGAATCCATCAGCTACATCTTCGCTTCTGACAACACCAGATCTGAACTGAGAAGTCAGTGGAATCACCTGAAGCCCAAGGTGTTCCACTTTTAAGCTGGGATGAGGTGAACTACTTTCGACTATATGTTGTAAACAAGATCTGTCACATCCACTCAGTGAACTATCCACTACTTCCCTTGAAGCCAGGACCAAGTCTATGTGGGATCTTGACATCAGTAAGTGCTCAGTTAATATCTTAGACTAAGAGCCCTGAGGCCTTACATGCTTCACCACCATGCTGCTTGCTGGAGGACTGGAGGGTCGTTAAATCCCTCATCCACTAGTAACTTTCTTTTTCAATTAGCACTCTCTTCCCGTTACTGATTGTTCATCTTCAGGAAGACCTCTGTGTTTTGTTAGCTTTAATCGGACCCGGCGATTTCTTCTAACCCTTTCAGGTATTATTCCTCAAGACAGTTGATCCCAGGCCACATTGCACACCACAGCCATTCATGTGGGTGCCTTTTGTCAGGAGACCCCATAGTGACAAAGCTAGAATCTGGATAGAGAAGGATAGAACCTTCTCATAATATCTTTAGAAATATATAAAGGGGATTGAAGTAATTACTTCAGTTTAAGAAAAAGAAAGAATTGCTGGCTCAAGGTGAGACATAAGGCTGGAACTTCACTTTTAAAATCAGCTTCTATTCAGCTTTCATTGTGGAAGCTGCCAGAACTTCTACAATGCCAGGACTTGCTGAGATCTTTCTAGTAATAGTAGCATTGTGGCTTCTAGGGTTCTTAGATCTCCTATAACCTCATACCCACAGGCATAGGCTTACATAAATACATATATACCATGACCACTTTAGCCAAAGACAAGGGACAACTAAGATTGGCTCTACATGGTAAGAAAAATCTTTAACAGATAACAGTTAAAGTCCTAGTTAGTTTTTTTGTTTGTTTGTTTTTTAACTTGACACAAACTAGAGTCATTTGGGAAAAAGAACCCTAAACTGAGGAAATGCTCCCACCAGATTGGCCTAATCAGTGCTTAATCAGTTGGTTGCCCATCCCACAGAGGGTGATGCCACCCCAGGCAGGTGGTTTTGGGTGGAATAGAAAGGAAATGGAGCAGGCGACAAGGAGCAGGCCAGTAGGCAGCACTCTTCCGTTGCTCCAGTCCAGTTTCTGCCTCCACTTTCTAGGACGATGGGCTACAAATTATAAGAAGAAATAACCCCTTCTTCCTCATGTTGCTTTTGGTCATAGTGTTTTATCACAGCATTAAAAGCCCTGAAACAGTGCTTGACTTGCTCTCCTTCTTAGGATGCCTGTTTTCCCTGACCTCAGAGAAGCCTGATGGCACCCTTAATTCAGTTACTAGGTTGAGACTTCGGTGTGTCTTTCTGTTAGGGTGCACAGTAGAAGGAGGAACTTTCAAGTTCACAGATATGTGTTTTATAACTTTACATTTCTAACTATATCCATTTATACAGGGTTTTTTGTTTTGTTTTGTTTTTGTTTTTTTGAGACAGGGTTTCCCTGTGTAACAACAGTCCTAGCTGTCCTGGAACTAGCTCTTGTAGACCAGGCTGGCCTCAAATTCACAGAGATCGCCTGCCTCTGCCTCCCAAGTGCTGGAATTAAACGTGTCTGCCACCACCGCCCGGTTTATACAGATTTTTAAAAAAATCCATAAAATGTCACCCTTTTCCCACCAACATATTTTTACTGATTATTTGGGAGTTTCACATACTGTACCTTGATCCCATTAATCTCCCTGTCTTCCTAGGTCCACTCCACCTCCCTTTTGACCTCCCCCAAAGAAAAGGAAAAAAAAATACCAAGTCCAATTTGTATTGCCCATGTACTACTCACTGGAGTATGATCAAACTCCCAGTGGCCAGCCCCTTAAAAAAAAAACGAGTCCTTTCCTACCCCACCTCTGCCGGAAGCCGTCAGCTGTGAAGAGCGACACTTCAGAATCCCTATCACAAATTTTATAGTTCTCTTCAGGGGCTTCCTGTCTAGACTGGTTCTGTTTTGGAGTGTGGGGGAAAGAGGTCTCTCATTCTCATCTGTGAGTCTGCAGTCATCAATTCTACTGCAAAAGCAGCTTCCTCGCCCTGTAGTCAGTGGCAGCACAGATCATGGACATCTACAGACCGCAGACACCACTGTGGCCCCTGGCAGCCGGACAGTCTTGGGACATCAACATGGCCTTGGGCAGCACAGACCACAGCATTCTTTTCTTTACTGTGCTGGGGAATTGAATACAGGACTTTGCCCATGCTAGGCAAGCACTTTACCACTGAGCTGTATCTTCACCCTCCATGTACCCTTTAAAAGTGTTTTAGAAGCCTAGCGGTGGTGGCGCACACCTTTAATCCCAGCACTCAGGAGGCAGAGGCAGGTGGATCTCTGTGAGTTCAAGGCCAGCCTGGTCTACAAGAGCTAGTTACAAGAGAAAATATGGGAAAGTAGTTAACAGTGTTAAGGAAACATGGTGAGAGCAGGTCACGTCATTTATACCAATTCACATTTCTGTGCCTGCCTCTTCCACGAAGGCTGTAGACGTAAGGGTTAGAGGCCTTAACCTCTTGCTCCCCTTAGTGCTTTCTTTGGCTTACTTTTGCTTCTGTCCACCCTCAGCAATGGCAGACTGGGCAGTATTTGTGAGGTAGTTTGAGATGACCTGGATCTTCCTCTAGTGATGAGAGTTCACCCTGTTCGTTTTATACAGCCTCTTCATTTGGAAGTTGAAGGGTCCTGTGTAATTTAAAACCTGACTCATCTCATTTTCCTTGCCTAGGTATCTTGATGTGATTGTAATTCATTCCTTTGCCTTCAATGTAAAAATTCAGGCAGGTCACTAATAATAACAAGAAAGGGGAAAAACAGAGAATTTTTTCCTACCATCCACAATTTAATCAAAAGAATTTATGATTGAGCTAATAATTCTATATAATTTGCATATATAAAATATACACTGAAACACCTGAGAAACACAGAGCACTTTATAGACATAACTTTTATTAACAGGATATCCCTGAGAGGCAGATGTACTGTAAACATTATTCTGCTTTACAGGAAGAGAAACAGAAGCAGTTAAACACACACAAGACATTTGGAACCATCTGTTTGCTAATACCTTTATGCCTTTTCCACAGTATTATACATAGATTTATACTAAAAATAATAATCCTATTTTCCATAACATTGCAGCTCCCTTCCAAAGCCGTCTCAGATCCTGAGGCCTTGCTTTAGACAGGTTTTTTTTGTACCTTCCTGCTTGCTTTGGTAGCATAATTGAGATACCATTTTTCCTTAGTTATTTTTTTCTTTTTAACTATTTATTTATTTATTTATTTATTTATTTATTTATTTATTTATGATATACACAATATTCTGCCTGCATGTATCTCTGTGGGCCAGAGGAGGGCACCAGATCTCATTACAGTTGGTTATGAGCCACCATATGGTTGCTGGGAATTGAACTCAGGACCTCTGGAAATGCTCTTATCCTCTGAGCCATCTTGCCAGCCCCTTTTTTTTTTTTTTTTTTGGTTTTCCGAGACAGGATTTTATAGCTTTGTGCCTGTCCTGGAACTAGCTCTTGTAGACCAGGCTGGCCTCAAACTTACAGAGATCCGTCTGTCTCTGCCTCCTGAGTGCTGGGATAAAAGGCATGTGCTACCACCACCCAGCTCCTTAATTATTAATGTTAGTTCTTTGTTTAGAATTCCTTAATACCAGAACCCTAATTAATTACTCATCCTAATAAATTTTAGAACAGTCCTTTCTCATTACTACCTCAGATCTTAATCTAGCCGTGGGTATCTAATAAGAGTGTAAATATGAAAGTTAGTTATTCCAGGTCTTGACCATCTTTTCTGACCTGCTCATCAAATATCTTCAATAGATGGTAATTTCTGGTATTTATCTCAGAAGAGCTAGTCTCCTAAAACTCGTTTTTCCCCGAGTCAAGCTGCCATCCCATTGTCAGTAAGCTTAGCACAGTACATCTGAGGGTCTCCCCTACCACTCCTTCTCCGCTGAGTTGATTCTCTGCCTACTGTACAGCTATATCATACATTCATTAGGTTTTTCCTGCTACTTTAGTCAACTTTATACCTTATGTCCTGTGCGTCCATGTTTTCTCACTTTTTACCCACCTAGCACCAATTTTACAACTAGTTTTTAAAAAAAAAAATCTATCTCACTATAACTTACCTAGTTACTTTTCTTCCTTTGAATGCTCACTGTTTCCTGAAAAAATACTTTCCAGATTTTTCTCAGAGCAAGCAAGCTATATTAAAACTTACGTCTAGTATAGTAACACTACTTAGCTTCCTAAATTTCTTTAAAACGGTTGCAGCCTGTCGTGATGATGCATATCTTTAATCCTAGGACTTTGAAGACTGAGGCAGTGAGATCTTTGTGAGTTCAAGGCCAGTGAGTTCCAGGTCAGCCAATGCTACCTAGTGAAACCTGTCTTTAAAAAATAATAGCCGGGCGGTGGTGGCACATGCCTTTAATCCCAACACTAGGGAGGCAGAGACAGGCGGATCTCTGGGAGTTCGAGACCAGCCTGGTCTACAGAGCTAGTTCCAGGACAGGCTCCAAAACCACAGAGAAACCCTGTCTCGAAAAACCAAAAAAAAAAAAAAAAATAGTAATAATAATAATAAATATTACCAATATATGTTTAGGTTTTCTGTCCATGTATTATCTGTTTTCCAGTATAAAGACAAGGGTAAGGACTGTTTACTTGTATTGTATAGGGACTATCATAAGTCTATGAATATGTGGAATTCAATACCACCTAATTTTGAACCCATAATTACTTTTGTGTTCAAGTAGATACTTTCATTTGTATAGCTGGGTGTGTACAGATTGGTAGCTCCACCACCTTCCCTGTCATTTAGGGTAAGTATATTTTACCTGTACATGGGAATATGGCAGCGGTTCTGCTCCTTGCAATTAGTACTGAGTACCCATAGGCTGCTCAATATAAATATATATAATATGTATAAAATATGTATGTGGAATGTAGGAAAAATAGATGACTCCTATTGATAGCTTTAACTGCTTTTTGTGTGACTATATCGATCTAGTTTGCTCTTTTGGCTTTTAGTCCACAAGGGAAAGATGAAATTTAGATGAAGGTAAGGAGGAAAGGAGAGAACAGGGAAAAATCAAAGAAGATGATATATAATTATTTTACCCTTTGTAGAATCTAGAAGAAACTAAGAAATTCAGTGTTTATAGAAGGCTTACATTTTCCCCCTAACTTACCGTCTCTCTGTCTCTGTGTTACTCAGGATTGAACCCAGGTCCCTGTGCATACTAAGTGCTCTACTACTGAGCTACATCCCCAGCCCAGATTCTTGGGGAAAAAAGAAAAATACTTTCCTTAAAGATAAATGAAGAGTATACACAGGTTTAAGTGAGCAAGGTGGCCCAACTAATGAGTAGTCTCACAACTTCTTTGAAAACCTGCTGAGATGGGTTTTCCGTTTGCAGTGCACAGGGTGAGTGGAAGATATACATGAGACCCACAGGATCTGCCGCCGTATCCTCTCGGGGGAACAACACAGGCACCGAGAGGGAAGACATTAGTACCGTCAGCATTTCAGACCAAACCTACTTTCCTTCTTAAAACCAGACACTTGACTCGGCTAGATTTGGGAAGCATAAGGAACAAACAATGGCAAAAATCCTGAGGAGTGCTTCCTAAGCCAGCTGGGCACCAACAGGAGAGGGCTTCCAAACAATACATTTGCTGAGGCCCTTCCTTGAGAGCTTACTTAGACATGGACTGTGACAGCAGCTGTTCTCGGGTATGGATCTCTCGGTGTTTATTAAGGGCAGAGGTCTTACTGAAGCACTTGCCACAGTGGTGGCACCCGTAAGGTTTCTCTCCTGTGTGGGTCCTGCGATGTGCACGTAAGTCAGAACTCTTACTAAAACTCTTACTGCAGTCAGGACACATGTGGGGCCTCTCTCCCGTGTGTATCCTCCTGTGTGCACTGAAATGAGAACTGTTATTGAAGCTTTTCCCACACTCTTCACATTGGTACGGCTTTTCTCCTGTGTGGGTTCTCTGGTGAATTATAAGGCTTGAGCTCTGATTGAAGCGTTTTCCACATTCCCCACACTGGTACGGCTTTTCTCCTGTGTGGATTCTCCGGTGGGTGATGAAATTGGAACTGTCACGGAAACCTTTCCCACAGTCCACGCATTGATAAGGTTTCTCTCCAGTGTGGATCCTCTGATGTCTGATGAGGCGTGCGCTTCGACTGAAGCTTTTCCCACAGTCAGCACATTTATATGGATTCTCTACCTGATGGGAGACCCGATACATGAGATGGGAGTTTGGGTCAAATCTTTTGCCATATCTGAGATATTTGTAGGATCTGTCTCCCAAGCCTGGTCTCTGATAAGTCGGGACTGTACTGATACTCTTCTCTGGGAATTTTCTTTTCTTCTCTCTCTGAGTCTTTTCCCACTGGCTTTCTGATGAATACTCATTCTTAATAGCTTTACCTTGATTCAAGTGACAGGAAATTTTCCTTTCAGACCTTGCAAGTAATGTCCTATGCAGCTGTACTTCCTCGGAAATATCTCGTTTAAGATTCTGTTCCTTATCAAATCCAGCCTCAAAACCTAATACAAGAACACAATTCGAAAAGTCATTCATTTCCTTTATGTACCACAACAAAGCAAACCTGGGAGAAACAAGTATTACATTGGGTGGTTACAAATAAGTGGTCACTAAGTTCCACATTTTGAATTTATGAAAGGTATGTGGTGGGAGCACATGGCTTAGCAGGTAAAGATACTGGCTGCTCAACCTGATGAATTGAGTTCAATTCCTGGAACCCACATAGGGGAACGAGAACCAACTCCATGAATTGTCCTCTCATCTCCAAACATGTACCATGGTGTATGTGCTCCTAAGTAAATAAAGAAAAGTAAACACATGGAGTACTAGAGACGGTTCTGAAGTCAAGGGCATGCACTCCTTTTGTAGAGGACCTGAGTTTAGTTTCCAACACCAGTACCAGGTACTGTACTCCAGTACACAATCACCTGTAACTCCAGCTCTAAGGGGAGTTGATGCCTCTGGTCTCCTTGGACACCTGTACTCAGTCAGATGTGCATAGCCAACATGGACAGACAAAATTTTTTGAAGTATTTTAAAATATTTTTAAATTTGGGTATGGTAGTATACAGCTTTAACTAGTACTTGGGGAGGATGAGACAGACAGATCTCTATGAGTTTAAAGCCAGCCTGGCCTATAAAGCAAGTTTCAGACTAGCCAGGGCTACATAGTGAGACCTTGTCTCAAATAATAATAATAAAGTCCAAAAATTATTATATTAGGATTATTAAAATTCCAGTGTTTTTCTTGCCTATAGGACCTATCACATGCCTTTCATCTACATAATCTACACTGGAGCTGCTTGGTCTTTCTGAATACCCAGTACCTGTAAAGAAACTCACAACAGCAAGAAGTCACTGGGTTTTAAAGAGGACAATTTCTGTGTTTACAGACACTCTCCACACTGTCATTCTGCCACCTCTCGGTCATATTGTGCCAGTATTAAAGGGCTTAGAAGGAAATGCCCAGGAACACTTCCTGGGGAATTTCTATAACCAGAAATAGTTTTGATGAGTCCCCTCCCTCTCACATTCCAATCTCTGTTAGAAAAAGCAATGCAAAAAAACAACAGGGAAAAGAAACCATGTAGCAGTGTTCAAAGAATAAAGGCTCTTAACAGAGAAAAGCTTCACTAGAAATTCTCTCCAAAAACTAAATGTTGCAAAAACATTGTAATTGAGCCCAAGTGGGAAACTTTTTAACATCCTAAAAAGAAAATGCCGGCTTTTAAGCCTAGGCTATGAGAATTTGCACTTATTCACACTTTCGTGTTAACTCTGGATCCTGAATTCCCTGGAATACTGAGTGTTAGTCTGTATGTATTCCCTAGAAGCTTTTACTTGGAAGCTGGTCCATAAAATAAGAGATTTGCTAGATTGACTGAGATCTTAGAGTCTTTAAAATGTGTATTGTGCACCTTCAAGAGGGCTATTTAGTATTTTCCAAACTCAGAAGTCAACTTTGTTTTGTAAAATATTGATGTTCAATGCAACATCAGAATGCTGATCTAAAAGTCTTACAAAGTGAAAACTATTGTTTATTGAATATCTACTATGTGCCTAGCACTGTGGTGGGTGCTTCATATAGAACCTCAGTTACATCAACCTTCGTTTCATTTTGAATATGAGCGATTAACCCAGAGCTTGGGGCATGTTCAAGCAAGCACTCTATCATTAAACTACAAGCTCAGCCCAAGATCTTTATGCATATGCAAATTTAGGGGGTAAGTAACTTGCACTAAGTCACTTGGCTAATATTGGAGATTGTCATACATACAACTAAATATGTATGACTCCAAAATTAGAACTCTTGTTCCTACAAGGAGGGAAACCATATTAGAATAATTTTTTTTTCTTATACAGCAGCTAAGATTTCAGTTAGTTCTCACAGAAACCTGCAGATAAAAATTTCTCTGAAGGGGTTGGAGACAGACACGTCTGTTTGGTGCCTACACTGGGCAGATCACAATTGCCTGTAACTCCAGTTCCAACAGATACAACACACTCCTCTGACCTTGAAGGGCACTGCACACGTGCTACATATGCATCCACTCAGGTCCACATACATAGACACATAAGATAAAATGTATCTAAGCCAGGAAGTGGCTCTCGCTTTTAATCCCAGTACATGGGAGGCAAAGGCAGGTAGATCTCTGTGAGTTCGAGGCCAGCCTGGTCTACAAGAGCTAGTTCCAGGACAGGTTCAAAGCTACAACAAAGCCCTGTCTCGAAAAACCAAAATAAATAAATAAATGTATTTGAAGAAAAGGCTTGTCAGGCTTCTACATAGCCCACCCAGACATGCTAAAATTAGAAGAAAAACAAATATGATTTGTAAAAATAAATTTCATTCTGCAGAATATGTGACATGCTACTTGGGAATCCCCATTCCGATTAACTGCTGTGCAAACTGGAAGCCTAGCAGCACGTGAAAGTGATAGCAAATCTACAAAATTTGCAAGCAGGTGATGCTGTCCGTGTGCTGAAGGAAGCCACATTAATAATTTGCAGCTTTTCACTGAGCTGTTTTAATAGATAAGAACCAAGGGGAAAAGGGGGCTGGAGAGATGGCCCAGTGGTTAAGAGCACTGACTGCTCTTCCAGAGGACCTGGGTTCAATTCATCAGCACCCACATGGCAGCTCACAACTGTCTGAAGATCCAGTTGCAGGGGATCGGACACTTTCACACTAATGCACATAAAATAAGGTTAAATAAACCATAAAAATTAAAAAAAAAAAAAAAGAAACATGGGGAAGAAAGATAAGAGCTCAGGAGAGCTGGGTATAGAGCTCAGCTCTCCATCCCATGGTTTTTCTCCTAAATTCTACAGCCTCCCTTTTGCTATTTACACCATCAGAACTGAAAGAATCTTAGCCAGGCATGGAGGCACACACCTGTAATACCACCACTTAGGAAGGAGAGACAGGAGGATCAGGAGTTTAAGGGCATCCTTGGCTCTGCAGTGAGCTCAAGGCCAATCTCGGCTACATGAACCATCTCAAAAAGTAAAAGTAAAGAACCTTACCACTGGGGCTCTGGAATAATACTGGGGCACGGGTTGTAACAGCCCCTGGGGGTATTTCAGTATCATCTTCATCATCTGAATCTTCCTCCTCTGTGTCCTCAGCTTGCTTCTCAGCTTCAGCCTCACTGGTTCCCTGGAGGTGGCAAGAAGCTGTTTCTTTTTCCTGGTCATCACTAGGCGGGGCAGTAACTCGGGCACTCACCAAAGCATCCATTTCTTCAAAGAAGGGACAGGTTTCTTGTGCTTGGCCATTCTTGACTTTCTGATAGCTGGTTTTTAGGCTTTTAAACTTGGTCCGACATTGCTCTGGGGTCCTAAAGAAGCCATATTCCCATAATCTCTCAGCAACTGCGTCATATAACTGGCTGTTGCGGTGACAGTTCTGGAGGGCTTTGTAGAACTGAGTCTCACTAAGAATTGCAAGGTAAGTCTTGGTTTCTTCATAGCCCCAGTGTACACCTGCACCAGAAGAGAGTTTCACTTAACCCAGAGCTTAGAGCCTTAGCTCTTCAGTCTCACTGCCTGCTTCAAGGAAAACCACTTACGCTGGAGACATTAGCTCAGAGTGTACTAAGCATGCATGAGGCCTTGGGTTCAGTTTATAAGCAAAGGAGAGAGGGAGGGAGGCCATCTAAGCTCAGGTTCCTAGATTTAAAAGGTTCATGTTTCCCAAACCTATCCATGCATTGTTTCTATATCCTTGAGCAATTTCAGAGAACTTTATTAGGAGCATTTAGCCATTTAAAGTCTTCAGTGAGACTGAAGAGCTGAGGCTCTAAAGCTCGGGGTTAAGGGATGCTGAAATCTCTCCTCTGGTGCAGCTGTGCACTGGGGCGTTGAAGAAACCAAGCCTTTTCCAGATGACTAAGGCAACACTCATATGCACTGTGATGGTTAATCTTCATCTACTGGGCGTGTCTGGGGGGGTGTTTCCAGGAAGGGTTAGCTAAGGAAAGACATATCTTGAATATGGGTGACACCATCCCGTGGGCTGGGGTCCCATGCTGAATTAAAAGGTAGAAAAGCGAAAAGCAAACTGAGCACCAGCGTGTATCACTCTTTTGTTTCCTGACTACAGATAGAGCAGTACTAGCTACTTCCTGCTCCACTGCCACACTGGGAGCAGCTCTCCCCACCACGTCCTCCCCAGCATGATGGAGATACTCAAACTGAGCCAAAACAGATCCTTCCTTCCTTAAGCTGCCATTGTCTGGTATCTTGTCAGTAACAAGAACAGTTAGTATAGACTAAAATGTCTGCAGAGTGCATTTCTCTTCCCATTTACTAATCTTCCTGAAATTTTAGTCCCAACTAGAAAAATCACTCGTCAGGAAAAAAAGACCCACAATTGCTGTCAATCACAATGCATCATCCCTAACCTCTCTGATAAATTTTCTCCATAACTATTTTCTTCCTACAGAATGATTTAATATTTGATAGTCAAAGTGTAAAGTCCAATGTAAAGTTTTATAACTTCAGAATCAATATTCAAAGTAGTCTGAATTAATTTTCGCATTTTTTTAAATTAAGTTTTTCAAATAAAATTTTAAATAATAATAATAATAAAAGAATGACTTAAAACTCCAAGGAGCTGCCTCCTTCAGAATCATACTGCTACCAAATTCCCATCTTGGCCTATCTTCATCTGTTACTGTCTCCATTAAGCAACCCCAGGGAGAGCCCATACCTAAAGGGTCTTACAGTCTGTACTCTATCTTTGGGTGGAGTACTGCAGAGGGCAGAGTGAGGCAAGAAGCAAGAGCACATGCTACACTGCAGGTCTCAGTGCCCTCAGGCAAGAACTGTCTCCTGTCTGAGGTACCCACGGAGATGGGAGGTTCCACACAGTCCTCTCCCATCTGAGAACACCCCCTTCCACTATTTTCTGCTTACTGGGAGTAAAGGAGAAAAGATCCAAATATGGGGGAAAGTGGAGAGGCATGAAAAGATGAGAGGAACAAAGATTATGAAAAGCTTTTGCTTCAATCATGTTTTAGCCACATTTGTTTTTAAATCACTGTTTAAAAAGTAATAAAAATGGGGCTAGAGAGATGGCTCGGTAGTTAAGAGCACTGGCTGCTCTTTCAGACGTCCCGAGTTCAATTCCCAGCAACCACATGGTGGCTCACAACCATCTATAATAAGATCTGGTGCCCTCTTCTGGCCTGTAGGCAGAACACTGTAAACATAATAAATAAATAAACAAACCTTTTAAAAAAAAGTAATAAAAACAACAAAGTATCATTTTTTTTCAGTGAATCTGCTTTATAAACAGGAAAAATATTTTAATAAAAAAAATAACCCCTTTGAAGACAGTTGGATTGTTTGGGTATATGTCTTTGAAAAATCTAAGTCTGAAGTTTGAGTGTAGTGTTTGCCTAGTGTGTGTGTAAGGCCCCAGGTTCAATTTTAGGCACTTAAAAAAAATCTCTCCTTTACTATTATCTCATTATTTGCTCACAGAAGAGAAGTACCTCTGCTCCCTATTAAAGTGGCCAAGCTGGCAGGTAACAATGCCTGGCTCCACACCTGGTTTCACTGTTCCTTAAACCTAATCCCAAAAGCCCTAGAATAGCTTCTTACCGCTCTGGCTTCGGAAGGGGACAGATGCAGGTGGGTTGTCACGGTCCTGGGGGACTGCCTCCAGGTCATCACTGTCAGATCCTTCAGCCACAGCCTCTTCTTCATCCTCAGGCTTCCAGGCCCTCTGTGCCGGCTCCTCAGTCCCAGTCTCTGTGCCTGCCTGGCCAGAATAGGAAGCGGCTTCTTCCAGGCCATTAATGGGCAGTGCAATGACCTGGGCACTCATCAGAGCTTCCATCTCTTCAAAGAAAGGGCAGGTATCAGTTGGATGACCACTCATGACCTTCCTGTATCTCTTCCGAAGACCTTTGAACTTGGTCCGGCACTGTTCCAGGGTTCGGAGGAAGCCATACTCACGCAGCTTCTCAGCTACAGCCCCATACACTTGGCTGTTCCTATGACAGTTTCGGAGAGCTTCATAAAATTCAGTCTGACTGAGAATTGCAAGAAGTGTTCTAGTCTCTCTGTAGCCCCAGTGCACACCCACCACCTTCTCATCATCAAAACCCCAGTGATCCTGTTCCACCCAGCTACTTTTCTCTCTCTGGGATAGGAATGGATCAGTATAGACTTGTTTGTCTCCTGTGCTGTTGCCTTTTGGGACATCTTTCTCCTTGGAGCTGAGCTCTGGGATCCATGGCTCTCCCTGATTCAGCCTGGAGACCACATCAGGTTTAGGAACTGGTCCTGTTTGCAGGGAAGAAACCAAAGTGTCAGAGTTTGGACTGATCATAAAAATAAATAAATAAATAAATAAATAAATAAATAATAAAACTTTCAAATCAGCCCTGCCTTTTTCATCAAAGGAATTCTATCTTTGTTTGAAATGGGGTCCCGTATAGCTCATGAACTTCTGCTCTTTCTGCCACTGCCTAAGTGCTGGGTTACAAGTGCGCACACCATGCTGAGTTTGATGGAGCGCTGGGGTCAAATAAGGTCTTGTGCACACTGCACTCTACCAACTGAGCCACATTCGCGGCCTCTAAAAATTATAAAGGAGATGCTTTCAGAGAGTTCAATGAGCTGAAGAAACCTCAGAGAATGAAAAAGAATTTGATTTCTGTTCTAGAGCAGAACATGAAGAGAAGGAAATATTCTACTGTGTGTTTAGAGCAGGTATTTCCATTCCAAACTGCTTGCTGGCCTCCACACTGCTTGTGTACAAGTGGTAGCATATCTCCGTTAGTCACTCCTGGCTCCTATTTTGTTCACGTGAGTCCTGAGAATTAAATTCAGTGATTTCAAGAGACTGGGGGTGAGGGTGGACCTGTCTTCAACTTGACTCTGCTTCACACTCAGTCACCAAATTCTAAGTGTTTCCCTCAGCACATCCTCCCCTCCATCCAAGTGCAGACCCTTAATTCTCCCACAGCAGGCCACAGCGGTTACTGTCCCGCTGAACCTTAACTTTGGTGTCTAGCAAGTTCATCCATTCTTTTTTTTTTATATTTATTTATTATATATACAGTATTCTGTCTGTGTGTATGCCTGCAGGCCAGAAGAGGACACCAGACCCCATTACAGATGGTTGTGAGCCACCATGTGATTGCTGGCAATTGAACTCAGGACCTTTGGAAGAGCGGGCAATGCTCTTAACCTCTGAGCCATCTCTCTCCAGCCCCAAGTTCATCCATTCTTGTTCTCTTGTACTTTTATTCACCTGTGCCTCCCTTCTTCCTGTCCACACTCACCCAGCGTTTGGGAAGCGCCTTGCCAATGCCCCCAGGAGGTGTTCCCTACAGCCCCACCTCAAGGCTACACTGCCAATCCCTTACAGAACAACTAAGCAAGTCCTTGACACAGTTTTCAGACAGCTAAGTGCATATTCATAATTCACTGTTATGTTCTTATCGTGCCAGCTCTTTGATAACAGGTACTTTAAAAACTTTCATTGTGTGTGCATGATGTATGTGGGGTGCATGTGCTATAGTTGCTGGAGGTGAAGGACTTTATGGACTTGCTTCTACCCAGGTCACCAGACTTGTGCAGCAAGGACCATTATCAGCTGAGTCAGCTCACTGGCCACAGGTACCTTTTCTTACTGCACTGCATGTACCCTGCAGCACATGGTAGGTGTTTAAACTAAAACCTGATTATTCTGCAGGTCCATATGTTGAGGCTGAGGTATCTGTGATGGATGGCTAAAGACCATTATCACACTAACCAAGAATGTTATTACTGTCATCTTGGATGATAAGATCAGAATTCAAAACAACTTCAACAAGTTTTAAATAACAAACACAAAATGTAGTTCAAAAGAGCACAAAGAAGAAAAATAAGTTCTAAAACATCAAGTAGAAGTGACTGGGTACAAAGGCACTAGAGTCCAAGAACCCCTGGTTACATATGTGGGCTGTACCGGAAGAAGACATTGCAAATTTTGAAGTAACATTCTTACTGTTTTTACATAACAGACCTCCCAGGAATAATGCAGATGTAATTTCATTCTCCACAATTAAGGTATTTAGAGAACTTCCACGTAGAGAATAAGAACTTAGGTCTAAAGAATGGAGACAATTAGAGGAAAAGAGAAACAACTATAAGAAAGGTATCTTGAGTATAGGAAAGAATATATCTAGAAAATAAGCATCTATCACCAAGGCATAAGATTATTCTAATTATACTAAAAACTAGGCAGCTGTTCTCTGGAAGAAATCTAAGAATACTCACTGTACTAGAGGGTTGAACTACCTGAATTCAGAAGGCCCCAACAACCACAGAGTAGACAGTTTACACTATTTCAGAACCCCTTTCCCACTCCCTGCTTCCCAGCGTAGAATGGCTCTGTCTTCTCACAAGTCACTCCTCACCACTCCTTTGGCAAGCTCTGAGAGTCTCCAGGTTCATCTGCTTCTGTGGTCCCGGGACTGGGCCTCTTGCCTGCTCTCTCTTGGATACACCCCTGGGCTGGAATTCCACTGATGGCTGATGTGATGATTTCAGGGGTGTCCTCTTCTCCGAGGAGACTGTGACCTGAAAACAATCCCCATTCCCGGGGAGATTATTTAATATCCCCAAAGAGACCATGCTTCTGAGGCAAGAACAGAATGTTAGGTAGGGGTGGGGCGATTAGGACAAAGAAGTGTTTATTCCATTATCATTAGTTTACAGTGGCTTGAACTCCAGAAAGATCAAAATAGAAACCCAGTTACCAGCTGGGGGAAACAAAAAAGAAAGAAAGAAAAAACCTTTACATTTCTTCTCTATTAAGAAATTAAACTGAGCAGTGGTGGTGCACGCCTTAAAAATTCCAGCACTTGGGAGGCAGAGGCAGGCGGATCTCTATAGTTCGAGGCCAGCCTGGTCTACATGAGCTAGTTCCAGGACAGGCTCCAAAGCTACAGAGAAACCCTGTTTCGAAAAACAAAAAAAAAAGAAAGAAAGAAAGAAAGAAAGAAAGAAAGAAAGAAAGAAAGAGAAAGAGAAAAGAGAAAGGAAAAAGGAAAAGAAAAAGAAATTAAGAAATCGAACTGAGCTGGGCGGTGGTGACGTACACCTTTATTCCCAGCACTCAGGAGGCAGAAGCAGGCAGATCTCTGTGAGTTCAAGGCCAGCATAGTACAGAGTGAGTTCCAGGACAGCCAGGGCTGTTACACAAAGAAATCCTGTCTAAAAATACAGAAGACAACAACAAAAATCGAAGTGCAGGGGCTGGAGAGATGGCTCAGCGGTTAAGAGCATTGCCTGCTCTTCCAAAGGTCCTGAGTTCAATTCCCGGCAACCACATGGTGGCTCACAACCATCTGTAATGAGGTCTGGTGCCCTCTTCTGGCCTGCAGGCATACACACTGACAGAATATTGTATACATAATAAATAAATAGATATTTAAAAAAAATCGAAGTGCAAGATGCACTGTAATCGAGTGGGCAGAGGTATACCCAGCTGGCATCTCCAGACAAGCCCTCCTGAAGAAGTAACCCTTTCCCGACGAGAGTAGAAAAATCACCAAACCTCTTTCCGCCCATCTGATCTTTTAACTGGCCCTCCCAGCCACAGACTTCTGAATTCCCCCTCCTTCTCACCGAATGCCCAGGTCGCCCAGACTCTAAGCCTTCCACCAGCGTCACGGCCTCCTCTCCGTTCTCTGGACATTGCTTTTGTACCCAGTTCTGGATTTCCCCAGGCAGCACCGTCAAGAACTGCTCCAGCACCAACAGTTCCACAATCTGCTCCTTGGTGCGCACCTCTGGCCTCAGCCACCGACAGCAAAGTTCCCAAAGTTGGCAGAAGGCCTCGCGGGGCCCAGCCACCTCCTGGTAATGGAATCTCCTGAAGCGCTGTCGTAAGCATTCAGAGTTAGTGCCGTTTCCTCGCAGAGTGGGTTTGGCCATCCTTCGCCGCAGAGAACAGTTTCCTCTTCGCTTCTGGGTTCCAGACTTAGTTCACGATCTCCCCATGTCCCCGCAGAAACAGCTGCAGCCGAGTCTCTCTGTAAAAAGGACTTTCTTCCTATCAAAGGACATGTTTAAAGTCTTGCCAGAGTCGGCCTGACTTTCTGTATGCTCCAAGTGGTCTTTGGAGGTAGTGCCATTTCAGGACAGCAAATCAAGAGCCAGGCGAAAATGATCTTTCAAAAGCTGTAGTTCTGGGTGCCGACTAGGGCATTCCTCGGAAGTGGCAGAGAACAGAAAAGCCTGTCTACTTTACTCTAACCTCACCTAAGTCTGATCGCGTGTAGCGCACTTGACTTAGATCAGAGTTGTAGAGTCAACTCGAACCGCACGGGACCCCAGGCTGACGGTAGCAGCAGGGTGACGCTTGGCTGACAGCGAAAGCCTCCGTCCAGCGGGGGGCGGCTAATCTTCCCCGAACCTCGGCGGCCCTCCCGGAAGCCCCAGGCGTCCGCCCCGCCCCTTTGGACGCCAAACTACGAATTTCCAGCCCGAACCAAAGTCAAGTGCGGAATGTTGGGTCTCTCGTTTACTCCTCCCTGCCGAAATAAGAACTCAGCAAGAGTACGGAGGCGGCAGATGGGCAAGCTCCCGCATCGGGGAAGCTGACTTGGGCTTCTACACTCAGGTGGCCTTGGGGAAGGGTCACGGGAGTTGGTGAAGCGAGGCGGCCCGAGAGGAGGCAGTAGTGGGTCTCCCGAGAACGAAGCCGGGGTTGGCCAGTGCTGCGAGCCCGTGGGCTCCGAGCGCTGTCCCACAGCAGCGGCTGTCAGGTTCCGGCCTCTTTGTCTTCCGCCCTCCGGCCGGGTCAGTCGGTCAAAATGCCACAGACCCTGCCGAGGCGTCCCGAGCACTCCCTCCGGCCCAGCCCTGGCCGCCTCTCTGAGCCTGCCTGTCAGCTCACTAGCATCCCTCTCCCTGGGCCGGCCTCAACCACTCCGGTCGGGCTAAGACCAGCCGTGCCCGCCAGCAGCCCCAGTAGGGCTCTGAAGCCGGAAGTCCGAGCGAGCCACTCCGGGCTCCCCAGACGCATGCGCGACGGCACCTCCGGCGCCTCCACCGCGCTCCGTGGCGGGAGCGAGCGGGTGGGCGCCCCCGAGCCGCGCGCACTTCCGGGACGCGGCGCGCAGCCCGGTGACTGCTCGGCGGGCGCGCGGTGGTTTGCGGGGTGTCTGGGCTGGGTGTGAGTGGGCGCCCGCAGAGGCGCTGAGAGAGAAGGCGGTAAATCTCGGGACTCCGAGGCCGTCCCAGAAATGATTCACGAACTGCTCTTAGCGCTGAGTGGGTACCCAGGGTCCATTTTCACCTGGAAGCGGAGTGGCCTGCAGGTACGGGGGGGGGGGGGGGGGGGGGGGGGGGGGGGGGGGGGGGGGGGGGGGGGGGGGGGGGGGGGGGGGACGCTGCAGTGCAGCGGGTGCCGCGGGGGGCGGGACCGCGGGAACGCCGGCTGACCGTGCCCACGAGTCGTGAGAAACCGGAGCCATCCTGACACTGCTCCGCCTTTGGCGGGGAAGCGGGCCCTGCGGTCCCTGACTCCTGGCAAGGGAACCACTACGAGTGGTAGAACTGTCCTTTTTTTCTGCATGTAAACTTACTGTTAAACCGAATCCCTGAATGTGTATCTGGAATTAGAAGATGGTTTATTATTAAAAAGGGCGTAGGGTGCCCCCGTATATTCAAGCTTGCATTGTTTCAAACTGAGTTTTGAGAATAGTGGAAGCACACACAGAGCTCAAGGCGCTGTAAACACACAGTACGTTGTGTTGGGTGAAAAAATGAATTTGTAAGGGTATGGCGTTTCCCTCCTTTCTTCGGAAGTTTCCGTACCAGGTGAAGAACTAGAAAGAGCTTTTCCTGTATTCAGAAAAGTGTAAGAGGAATGTGTTGACTAGTTCGTTCTGTCTCTCTTCTCTTTTCCTTCCCTTCCTTCCTTCCAGCTAGAGTTATCTGAGAAGAGGGAAACTGCCTTGAGAAAATGCCCGTCGTGTTGGCCTATGGGCAAACCTGTGCGGCATTTTCTTTATCCGTGGCAGCTGTAGAAGCCCAGTGCGCTGGGGGAGGTGGGAGTCCCTCAGCAGGTGGTCGCGGGGCGGTTGAGAAAGCCCGCTGTGCTTGCCAGGTGGAGCCGGCCAGTAAGCAGCATTCTGAGTTTCTGCTCAGATTTCCCTTCCTGAAGGACTGTAAGCTGAACTATAAACACTGTCTTTTGTCACAGCAATAGACTCCTAACTAGGACCGGGGGACTGACTATAGGGCAGTGTGCATTGTCTCATGGCAGCGTATAGCCATCTAGTGCCGACCGCTAACTCCCAGGGTCACATTCATTAGTCTAGCGTAGTCTTCTTGAACAGAGGTTTGTCTGGCTCCACTCTCGGAACTGTTAGCATATTCTGCTTCCATTACTGATGCCTGGTGCTCTCAATAACCGAGTAACTTAAGTATTGCTTGTTCCAGCTTGTGAATGCATAAATCTGAAGCTTGGATAGCTATATGCCGACTAGTTGTATCAGTTCTAGAAATTAAGATGTATACGGTGTTCTGTCTGCATGTGTGCCTGCACACCAGAAGAGGGAATCAGATCTCATTACTGATGGTTGTGTGTCACCATGTGGTTGCTGGGAATCGAACTCAGGACCTCTGGAAGAACAGCCAGTGTGCTCTTAACCTCTGAGCCATCTCTTCAGCCCTGTTTTTTTGTTTTGTTTTTGAGGCAGGGTTTCTCTGTAGCTTTGGAGTCTGCCCTGGAACTAGCTCTTGTAGATCAGGCTGGCCTCGAACTCCCGGAGATCAGCCTGCCTCTGCCTCCTGTGCTAGGGTTAAAGGCGTGCGCCGCCACCACCCAGCATGGAATTCTTCTTTTAACTAGTGTATGTGTGCATGATATGCAAGGGTGGGCATACATGTCCCAAAGTGTATGTAGAGGTCAACTGTGGAGTGAGTTCTTTCCCTCTACCATTCTGTGGGTTCCAGGGCTTGATTTAGGTTTTCAGGTTTGTGTAGCAGATACCTGACCCTCTGAGCCCTCTCACTGGCCCTAAACCTAGACCTTTTCTAAAACTGCCAACAAGAAGTATTCAGAGATATCATTTGATAACTGTGTAGAAATGTCGTTAGTAATAAAAAAATATCTGTATTGAGCACTTTCTATGTGATTAACACATGTGCTTTATATGATTTAATTATCACTTTACATATGAAAACTAAGACATTGAGAGGTACCATAGCTTGCCTAAGCTTTCAAGCAAGACATAATTTGAGAATACAAGCCAAGGGAGTCTCTGTCTCTTTCCTCCCCCCCCCCCCCCCCCCCCCCCCCCGCCCATGTGTAGGTAGGTCAGGGGACAACTTGGAAGAATATCCTACTATCCTGGAACTCAAACTCAGGTTGTCAGGTGGCAAGCATCGTTACACATTGAGCCATCTTTCCAGCCCTTAGCATGGGAATTCTTTAATATATGTTACCTGTTTGAAGAACAAGCAGTCACATCTGGATAAGGAACTCTACCTTGTTTAACTGTTTTGTTACCAGAATTACCAGCCTGGTGATAGGGAGCGTTAAAGTAAAACCATGATACCTTAGGGAATTAAGTGGAAGAAAGAACGTGAAGTATTCTAGGCCCCACAGAACCTGGCTGGCAACTAGCTGGCATCAGCTTTTCTTTATGACTGTCCCTCTTCTTGCAGGTTTCCCAGGACTTCCCATTTCTTCACCCCAGTGAAACTAGTGTCCTGAATCGACTCTGCCGGCTTGGCACAGACTACATTCGATTCACGGAGTTCATTGAACAGTACACAGGCCATGTGCAGCAACAGGTGGGATGCTGTTCTCTGGATATGTGCTTCTACAGGGTAAGGGTGTGAATTCACTCAAACTAGGAATTAGGAATTTGTGGAATACACGTTAGTTTATCAATCACTGGAAATGCTCAAGAGAAGGCAAGATTTCTCATTGCTTTATTCCTGGGTAAGAACAACAAAAATTCTTTCCTATTGATGTGTTGTACACAGATTTTATCTTACATGACATGAGAATTCTCACTTCTCCAGTTCTAAAAGGAAGTCCTAATCGTGCTTTTAAAAAAAAAAAAAGTGAAATAACAGCCACACCAAAACCCTTTCTTTTCATTTTGTGATAGATGAAGACTCATTTCAGTTTTCTGTACTACCATAAGATCAGAACAAAATGGACTGGTTGTAAACCGTCTGCTCGTGTCCATGCTATGAACATTTATCTTTAGGAACGTCAGGATCCTTCAACTAGCATCTTCTGGCTGGCGACTCTGTGCTTTCTAACCCCTGACCCCAAGCTGCTTTAGCACATCTGATACTGAATTCTGTACTCTTGCCTACCACTCTCAAACCTGGTTACCCAGATCTGTACCTAGCAAGAGGGGCTGAGCATCCTTCATAGACTCCAGCTAACTTTAACCATTGATTCCTCATATAAAACTATATGAGAAGTTTTATATGAAACTGACCAAATTCCCTAGACCCCTCCCTCCAAAAAATAAGTGATAAAGACTACTGAGAGTCACTTGCAGACAAGCCCAGCTGCCTGGAAATCAGCAGGGACCGGCCACACAACTTGAAGAGTTCCTGAAAGACAAGTCACATTGTATATAATGCTTCAGTGAGAGTCTCACAACCCCCAGATTGGCTTTCAGACTCACAAGATACTGGGCTTTTTGTTTTTGTATTTTGTTTTTGTTTTTTAAGATTTACTTTTAGTCAGCAGTGGTGGGAAATGCCTTAAATACTAGCACTTGGAAGCTAGAGGCAGGTGAATCTTTGTGAGTTAGAGGCCCACCTGGTCCAGAGTGAGTTCCAAGACAGCCAGAGGTACACACAGAAACCCTGTCTCAAAAAACAAGACAAAAAAAAAAACCTATTCCGTGTGTATGAGTTCTCCTTGCTGCACATATGTGTACCATGTGCATGCCTTAAGCCTGCCCATGCCGGGAGGTATTGGTACCCCAGGAATACAACTTAAACATAGTTATGAGCTACCATGGGAGGAATCACCTTAAGACAGGAAGTCGGTAACTCAGAATAGCTTCAGGAAGTCCCTGAAGCCAGATTCACTAGGCCCCTTCCTCTGAAGCAGCCAGAAAGAAGCAGGAAACAGCTGAGCTGCCTAGAAGAGGTTCAGATCAACCAAACTACATGGACAAAACAGTCCAACCTGTTAAGCTGCCTAAAGGCTGCAGAGTGTGCTCCAGGTTCTCAGCTTTTTGTCACCCATGGTAGTGTGGGGTTTGGTGATACAGCTATCTTTGACATTTCTGCTCCTGTAAGTAATCAGATGTCGGTAGTATCTATACTTTGTCTGTCATGGGCTTCCTGTCCAGGGTGAGTAGGGGTGTGTGTGTGTGTGTTGCATCTCCTCAGGAAAAGTCTTGTCACACAACAGATGCTGGGAACCAAACACTACGGTAAAATCCTTCTCCATACCATGGGGCCAGTCATGTTGGTGTTTCTTTACTTCACCCCTTAGCATATGCTTATCTTCAGTTGTTTTTCCATTTTCTCTTGCTAAAACACGGCTTTGATACAGGATTATTTAAGTAAACACAAGTACTGCTAATTAAAGAGTGTCTTCCTCAGGTTCAGGGTCTGAGCTGAAAAGTTGACTTCTCTTTGTTTATTGGCAGGATCACCATCCATCCCAGCAGGGCCAAGGCGGGCTCCATGGAATCTACCTGAGGGCCTTCTGCACAGGGCTGGATTCAGTTTTGCAGCCTTATCGCCAAGCCCTGCTTGACCTGGAACAAGAGGTGAGAAGGAGGTAATATAGGAAACAGCATCTTCGGGGATTGTAGAGAAGAGCACATTCCTGCTCTGAAGTGGCCTTTGATGAGGTCAGGTAGTTAAGAGTGAACAATTTCCTGTGTGACTGAAGGGTACAGTATTCAAAGTGGCTCCAGAGTGGATTTGTGAGAGCCTTAATTTTGGATTATTATCTAAAAAGTAAATCTATAATCTATTAGTTCTTCAGAGCTCAAAATGAACATTGAGCTCATTGTCACATTGTCTTCTAATTTATATAGAGCAAATTAATTCAAGTTATTTTGTGTGGAATTCTGATGACTGTGCTTTTATTACAGTTCCTGGCTGACCCACATCTCTCCATATCACATGTCAATTACTCTTTAGATCAGGTATGCATCGGAATGCTAAAATGCTTTGGAGTCTGTTGCTCTCCCAATTTGTGGAACTATATTAAATGTTTTTTTCCTGAAGGTATCAGAGCCAAAAAATATATTTTGCATGTTTTATTGCTAGATGAGAACTGCTTTAAGAGTGTGATGTACATGGCATCCACCTGTCATCTCTGCTCAGGAGGAAAGGGCTAACCCTGGTGTACAAGTTTGCTTCAGTGAGCTCTGGGCCAACTAAAAGAAAAACCCAAACAACAAAGAGTTTCACATTTAATTACTTCTTACTGTAATGTGAATATTCTCCCATTGACATGAATATTGGCAGTGGCACCAGACTCAAAAGTAGAAAATTTCTTCTGTCCTCCATTTTCCTATCTGTAGCCAATCCTGATGTCAGATTGCCTTAGGGTACTGGATCTTGATACTGCCGTGTATTATCTCAGAAACAGAAGTGTTTCTTGAATTGATATTTTTTTTTAATCCTGTATTTGACTCATACCCTTAAATTTTTCTACTTTGCAGTTCCAGCTCCTTTTCCCCTCTGTGATGGTTGTAGTGGAACAAATTAAAAGCCAAAAGGTAAGACCTTTTCTTCTGTGATAAGCTCCAAAGGAAAACTAATAATGCTGTTTTACAGTCTTTCTTAGAAGACACTTGCTCTTAATATTTTTTTATTTATTTAGTCAGCATTATCCCTTTGCTTATCATATGAGATGTCAGAAATTCAAGAACTTAAGACATTATTCTTTCTTTAAACACCTTGTGATTAATAAAGCAGAATCTCCAGGTGGTGGTGGCACATGCCTGTAATCCCAGCGCTTGGGAGGCCAGCCTAGTGTACATAGTGAGTTCCAGGGCTACACAGAGAAACCTTGTCTCAAAAAGCCAACAACAGAAAAGCAGAGTATGTGGATCTACCTAAGAATGTTGCTGAGGTTAGAGAAAATACTCTGGTTTTGTGGAGGTGAGAGCTAGCTGCACTAACGGTTTGGAACCACTGGCTTTGGATTAGGATAGGAAACTTACTTCTTACAAAAGAAAGAAGGTGGTTTCCCGAGTGTAAATAGAGATGGCACTTTCGTTTCCTGACACCCAGACTTAAATAATCACACAGAAACTATTATTAATTACAACACTGTTTGGGCAATGGCTCACGTGTATTTCTAGCTAGTTCTTACATCTTAGATTAACCCATTTCTATTATTTTATATTTTACCACTAGGCTTGTGGTTTACCACTAAGGTTCTGACGTCTTTCTCCTTTGGCACCGACATGGCGTCTCCTTGACTCTGCCTATTCTCTCTATATATCTCTGTTCAGATTTCCCACCTGGTTTTCCTCTGCTGAGCCATTGGCCAAAACAGCTTTATTCATCAATCAATAAAAGCAACACATATACAGAAGGGCATCTCACATCATTTCCCTTTTCTGTCTAATTAAAAAGGAAGGCTTTAACTTTAGCATAGTAAAATGACATGTACAAAACAGTTATTAAGCAAGGATTATAGCTAGGATATTTAGTCTATTTACATATGGCAAATTAAGGAAAATATCATCTTTGAGGGCCTAAAGTTTTATATCTAATTTATCTTTTATCATAACTAACGAAAGCTATAATTATAACTATCTAGTCTTCAATTCCATCAATGACCCCAGAAGGATATAATATTACCTAAGTAAGCAGGAAGTATATTGTAAACAACTTCCAGAACTGTAGAATTGGCAATCTCACTGCCTGGACAGTCACACAAAGTTTTTCTGTAACATGGGGGCATTCATCTTCAATAGTAACCAGCAGACTTTTCCCTGAAGCAGGAAATTTGAAAGACTGTTTGCTTATATTGGCAGTTTGTCAGTCACTTTCTTCTGTATCCTACAGAATGTCTGGCAGTTTCCTCTGTGAAGCAGGCATCCTGACGGACCATCACATCTTTTGGAAAGTTTAGCAGTTTTCTTTGGGTCCTACATGTCCTGTTCATACAGCATACCATCAAGCAGTGCAGGCAAGAGCAGTTTCTTGTCCAAATGACTAGCTTTGTCACACTGAAGGAAAATTCTATAATGAGTTTATGTCCATCAATTGTTGCTGCCAGAAACAGACATGACTCACTGTCAAGAAAAGTCTAAGTTTTTAAAATCCTTTAAATGCCACATTCTGTAGGTCTTTGAAGTGTTGAAGGTTATCTAACTGAAGTATATCTAGAAAACCTAACTAACATAATTAAAAGTTTGATTATTATAGATGACTGTCTATATAAATCTATATTTCTTTACTATACATTACATTTTAAATGAGCTGCACAAGCAATACCTTAAACAAGAGCAGAAATACATATATAAGTGTAACAAAATTGACCTTAAATTTATATCAGTAGACCAAGATCCATACCAATGCAAAGTATTCATCTCTCTGAGAGTTCAGAACTACTGGGCAAAATCCAGCTTGTTGTTTTCATTCAGGAAATCGTCACAAGTTTCATCACATATTGAACTCCCCCATGTCAGAAGATTGTCTTTTCTGGGCGGAATTAGCATCTATGAAGAAAAAAATGCTTTAGAGATTTTATACTGTAAGAATTATTTTCTTTTGTTTACCCATATTGGACTAAGTAGACAAATGAATTAAGCATTCTCAGCTCCATGGATTTTGGCCATTGTATCTGTGCCTTAGGTTATTATTTAGTGAGTATAGCTGGCCAGCTGGCTTACCCTGTAGTTGTCGTACTTTTTCAGTGAGTGCAGAAATTTAAAGCTCTGCTACGTTGATTCTCTACTGCCAAAGTCAGTAGAAAAGTACTTCAGCGCTGACCATCCTCGTTAAAGTACATTATTTTTGCTTTGTCCCATACATTGTGTTAAGGGTTTTACATAGGCTCAGGGTCACAGACAGCAAAGTAAATAGCAAAGTTTGTGTAACTCAAAGACCATGCTCATAACCAATACATTAAATTCACAAAATAGGAGGGAACCTTCTACATGAATGGAGTTAATAGTGAGGGTACATCTCAGTTTACTTTCAGCCTCCTTTGACTACAGGAAGAATGGGGGACAAATAGAAGGACTTAGATAAGGGGACTTTCCTTTCCAGCCAGGTAGCGATGGAGGAACTAGCTCCACAGTTAAAAACTAAGGTGGTCGAGAGCATGGGCTGAGGGGGAGGATAGGGACGGATTGCAAATAGGCTCACCTAAGGGATTGGGGTTTTTGTTTTTGTTTATTGAGACAGGGTTTCTCTGTGTAGTCCTAGCCGTCCTGGAACTCACTCTGTAGACCATACTGGTCTCGAACTCAAATCTCCCTGCCTCTGCCTCCTGAATGCTGGGATTAAAGGCATGTGCCAACACCACCCAGTTTGGGGAATGTTTTAAAATAGAATATTATAAAACTGTTATAGTGATGATTATATAATACTGTAAAATTATTATAAATGATTAAATAGTACACTTAAGCTACACATAAATTTAGAGCATACAAACCAGGTGGTGGTTGAGCATGCCTTTAATCCCAGCACTCAGGAGGCAGAGACAGGTGGATCTCGTGAGCTCAAGGCCAACCTGGTCTGCTGAGTGAGTTCCAGGACAGGCTTCAAAGCTACAGAGAAACCCTGTCTCAAAAAAAAAGGAGGGGGGGGGGTTGAAAAAATCCATCAGATTACTTGTAGGTAATCTGTAGTGCATTTTCTTGGTTATTGATTGATGTGTGAGGGCCCAGCTCACTGCAGGTAGTACAAACCTTGGCAAGTGGCCTTAGATGATAAAGCAGGCCAACCAAGCCATGGAGGTGGGCAGTAAGCAACATTCCTGCATGGTTTTTGCTTCAATTCCTGCCTTAAGTTCCTGCCCATACTTGCCTTCATGATGGCCTATAAACTATAAGCTGAAATAAACCCTTTCCCCAACAAATTGATTTTATTTTTTATTTTTTTTTAAAGCATGGTTCTGCCTTCATTTTCTTTCTTTTTTTTTAAAGATTTTTATTTATTTATTATGTACACAACATGCCTCCATGTATACCTGCAGGCCAGAAGAGGGCGCCAAATCTCATTACAGATGGTTGTGAGCCACCATGTGGTTGCTGGGAATTGAACTCAGGTCTTCTGGAAGAACAGTCAATGCTCTTAACCACTGAGCCATCTCTCCAGCCCAACAAATTGATTTTAATCATTGTGTTTTATCATAGCTTTAGACCTAACTAAGGGTTTGGAGAGATGACTCAGAAGTTAAGCGAGCTGGCTGCCCTTCCAGAGGTCCTGAGTTCAGTTCCCAGCAACCACATGGTGGCTCACAACCATCTGTGATGAGATCTGATGCCTTCTGACTTGCAGGCACAAATGCAGGCAGAGCATTGTATATATAATAAATAAATCTTTACAAAAATAACAAACTAAGAAACCTAACTAAGACAACCAGTAACACTGATGATGGGGAGGGGAGGAGAACCTGTTTTGTATAAGTATATAGAAATCTGTGAGAGACCATATCGGCCTTCTCTACTGGACTGTGCTTTCTTGGTTGGTATAGAGGGAGTTTATGTAACCTAGAGTGACAAGGCTCTATTTTCCACAGATTCATGGCTGTCAGATCCTGGAAACAGTTTACAAGCATAGCTGTGGGGGTTTGCCTCCAGTTAGAAGTGCATTGGAAAAGTAAGTCATGGCTTTCACCAGTATTGGGGTAGAGGAGGGAGTCGAGTGATTTGACTTGTCACGTTTTATTTCCAGGTCATTTCTGGTTTTCTGTGGGAAATCTTTAACTAGGATAGAAAAGGGTTGGGGAGATCAGTAAATAAGTAAACTCCTTGCCGTGCAAGTATGAAGACTTCAGTGAATCCCTAGAACCCACTTAAAAAGCCAGGTGTGGTGACTTGGGTCCGTAGTTCCAGCACTGGGAAAGAGGGAACGGGATCCCTGGGGACTTGCTGGCTGCCAGACTATCTGAATTGCCAAGCTTCAAGTGCAGCGAAAGATGTTTCAAAAAAATAAGGTATAGAATTACTGAGGAAGATTTCCAGCATCAACCTTTGGTCTCCACATTCACATACACACACGTACCCCATATATATATGTACACATATACCCTGTATATACACACATGTGCATACACACATGCCATACACATACTCCATATATACACACATGTGCATACACACATGCCATGCACACACACCATATATACACACATGTACATGCACACATAGCTCATATGTAGACACAGAAGAGCCCTAGAGTCACCAGATGTAGTAGTTTATGCCTATAATCCCAGTACTTGGAAGGTAGAAGCAGGAAGATTAGGAGCTCAAGATCATTCTCAGGTATGTGGAAAGTTTAAAGAGGCCTGGGTTGAAAGCTAAGAAGGTAAAAGAGAGAGGGGGAAGGAAGGGAAGAGGAAAGAAGGGGGAGGGGCAGGTAAAGTGGTGGTGTGGGGAAGAAGAGTAGCCAGTATTTTTCACATCAAAATCCTTAAAATTTTTATACTTTCTATCCTGTACTATCACATACTTCAAAATTTTATTATAACAAAATTTACATTATATTTAGTCTCTGGATTTTTATACATGTGTATGCAGGTACATGTGCCCTAAGAGGCCATTGGAGAATATCTAGTTTCCAGCTCTCACTGTCCAATTTATTCCCTTAAAACAGGTTTTCTCACTGAGCCTGACTAGCCAATGGACTCACAGAATCTGCCTATCTCTGTTCCCCAATGTTGGGGTATAGTCATGCACAGCTTATACATCGGTGTAGGGAATTAAAATTCTCAATTCCTGTGCTTGCCTAGTAAGTGCTCTTACCCACTGAGCTATCTCCCCAGCCCAGTAGGGAAATTAGTAAAACAAGAAAATTATTCATAAGTATACTCACTGCTGTATTGTTCATCAGGGAATTGGAAAATTTTTCAGGGGTATAAGGAAACCTAGGGCTATTAGATAGCTCTTCTGATAAGTGTTGACTACCAAGCCTGACAATCTGTCACTGGAACTCATATGATAGAGGAAGGGAACCACTGCAGATTGTGCTCTGACCTCCTCATAGGTACAAGATAAAGGCATGCCAGCACACATGTACACACACACACACACATACAAATACATAAATGTGATTAAATATTTTAAGCTAAGCTGGGCGGTAGTGGCGCACGCCTTTAATCCCAGCACTCGGGAGGCAGAGGCAGGCAGATCTCTGTGAGTTCGAGGCCAGCCTGGTCTAGAAGAGCTAGTTCCAGGACAGGAACTAAAAGCCACAGAGAAACCCTGTCTCAAAAAATCCAAAAAAAAAAAAAAATTTAAGCTAAATATTCACTCAAAAGACTATAACGTTATTAAAATTATAAATGCCAAAATAATACATAAAATATCTTATAATGATGAAAAATGATGTAAGATTGTATTTGTCTTATGATTATAACTGTCTAAAAATATAAAAAGGGGTTTGGGATATGTAATTTAGTAGTAGAATGCCTGTCTATCATGGGCCCTGGGTTCCATTGTCATCCTTTCAAGAAAAAGGTAGTCTCTGATCAAAGACTGCCCATATATTATTTCATTTTCCTCATGATTAAAAAAGCAAGTATAGCTTTTTTTTTATGGTGGTTTGAAAGAAAATGACCCTCAAAGGGAGTGGCACTATTAGGAGGTGTGGCCTTGTTAGAATAGGTGTGGTCTTGTTGGAGGAAGTATGTCACTGTGGAGGTGTCACTGTTGCCTGCAAAATGAAGGAGACTCAACTACTTCTCCAGCATCATTTCTTCCTGCATGCTGCCATAATTCACCATAATAATGAACTGAACTTCTGAACTGTAAGCCACCCAATTAAATGTTTTGCTTTGTAAAAGTCAACATGACTGGACGATGGTGGCACACGCCTTTAATCCCAGCATTTAGGAGGCAGAGGCAGACGGATCTCTGAATTCAAGGACAGACTGGTCTACCGAGTGAGTTCCAAGACAGGCCCCAAAGCTACACAGAGAAACCCTGTCTCAAAAACAAAACAAAACAAAACAAAAAAACCAAAACAATCAAACAAAAAGAGTTGCCACGGTCATGGTGTCTCTTTATAGCAATAGACAAGCAATTTTTACAAAATTGTGGTAGGTGGACTCTGAGGCCTTTCACACCCCCTTCCCATTCTTCTTTATGTAGGTACCAGCTTGACTTCTACATCTTCAGTGGGTTGTAAAGGTGTTGTCTTCAGCAATAGAGACTTGCTGTCAATTTGTAGTGAGCAACCCATAGTCTTAGCAACAACCTGGGTTGTTTGAGGATTCCCATGGGACCCTTTTGGCAAATGACTCAATTAGATGTAACCCAATCCTAGTACTGAAAGCTTTATTTGGTGACAAGAAATGTGTCTTCCCCCCCAATATATAACAATTTCATTTAGATCTCCTTCATATGTGTATATATGTGTGTGTGTGTATGTATGTGTGTGTGTTCACACACATATTCTACTGTATTATATGTGTGTATATGTATATATATACACACACACATATTCTAATGTATTCTACCTAATACAGTAGAAACTTCTTTATGGGGGGGGGGTGTTCTTCATATATTTTGGATGTTAGTTCTCTATCAGATGTATAGTTGGTAAAAATCTTTTCCCATTCCATAGTCTACTACTTTGTCCAAATAATGCTATTCTTTGCCATGTGGAAACTGTTAAGTTTCTTATTGATCTTAGCACAGAAAGTCTTCCTGTGCTAATGAGTTCAAGGCTGTTCCCCACTTTACTGTCACGTTCACTGTATCTGGTTTTCTTTTGAGTCTGTGATCCACTTGGACTTGAGTTTTGTACAGGGTGAAGTATGGGAATTTGGATCCTGTTACAGTATGAAGCCATCCAGTTTGACCAGCAGTATTTGTTGAAGGTGCTGTCTTGTTTTTTGTTTGTTTGCTTGTTTGTTTTGTCAAAAGCCCAGGTGTCCAACAGCACAGACATTTACTTATGTCTGGGTCTTTAAGTCACACACACCATTGATCACTGTGTCTGTCTTTGTGCCAATACGAGACTGCTTTTATTACTGTATCTCTGTAGCACAATTTAAAATTGGGATAGTGATAGCTCTATTCAGGATTGTTTTAGCTATCCTGGGTTTTTGTTTATTTGCTTGTTTTTGCATATGAAATCGAATGTTGTTCTTTCAAGGTCTGTGAAGAACTGTGCTGGAATTTTGATAGGAACTGCATTGAATATGATTGCTTTTGGTAGGAAAACCAGTTTTACTATATTAATATTACTTTAATGGGCATGAGATATCTTTCCATCTCCTGATATCTTCTTCAATTTCTTTCTTCAATGTCTTAAAGTTTTTATCATATAAATCTTTCACTTGCTTGGTTAGAATTACTGAAGATATTTTATATTATTGGAGGCTATTGTGAAAGGTGTTTCCCTGGCTTCATTCTCAGTCCATTTGTCATTTGTATATAGGAGGGTTACAGATTGTTGTGAGTTAATTTTGTATCCAACTACTTTGCTTCAAGTGTTTATCAGCTCTAAGAGTTTCCCTATGCATGCAATCATATTATGTGACAATAAGGATACTTCAACCTCTCTTTTTCCAGTTGATCTCCTTCAGTTGTCTTACTGCTCTAGTGTGGCTCTGCTTCTTCCTCCTTTGGATTGTTAGCTGCATTGGCCCACGAGGGTGAAGGAAACAGAGCAGGGAACAGGGTTCAAGATGGTTATAGGTATGAAGGGAAGCAGCCCTCCGGGAGATAGACTCTGATGAATCAGCTCAACTTTATTCCAAAGTATAAGGAATATAAAGGATTGAGAAGCCTAGGCACAAACCCTAATTTGCACTAAGTGGCACGCTCCTATCACGAGGCTTTTAGTACATGGCAGTAGGGTCCTATCAAAATGGCTTGAGCACTTGTCTAATTACCATGTGGGTCATCAGTGGGAAGAGCGTTTTCAGGGAGCTCTGTTTGGGGGGTGAGGTGGGGGGTTGCTCCATGTTGCTGAACTTAGAGACAGCTGCCAGGCTATGGTAGACTGCAGCCTCCAGTCAGCAGGGCCTCCCAGCACTCTAGCTGAGATTTCGGGTACAATAATGAATATGTATGCAAAGTGGACAGCCTTGTCTTTTTTTGATTTTAGGGGAATTGCTTTGAATTTCTCTCCATTTAAGTTGATGTTGGCTATGGGTTTGCTGTAAACTGCCTTTATTATGTTGAGTATGTCCCTTATATTCCTTTTCTCTCCAGTTTTATCATGAGGGGTATTGGATTTTGTCAAAGGCCTTTTCTGCACCTAATGAGAAGATCATGTGGTTTTTGTCTTTTAGTTTGTTAATATAGTGGCTATATTTATCAATTTATGTATTTAAACCATCTCTGGGATGAAGCCTACTTGATCATGGTGGATAATCTTTTTAATGTGATCTTGGATTCTTTTTTCAAGTATTTCATTGAGAATTTTAAAATCTATATAACGGAAAATGGTCTGTAATTCTCTTTCTTTGTTGGGTCTTTATGTGATTTGGATATCAGTTAAATATGGCCTACTAAAACAATTTTGGCAATGTTCCTTCTATTTCTGTTTTGTGGAATAATTTGAGGATTGCTGACATGAACTCTTCTTTGAAAGTCTGGTAGAATTGTTCACTAAAATCATCTTTCTCTAGGCTGTTTTTTATTTGGGAGAATTTTAATAATTGTTCTATTTCATTAGGGGTTATTGGTCTGTTTAAATTGCTTATCTGATCTTGATTTAACTTTAGTAAATGTTATGTGTTAAGAAAATTACCCATTTTTTTTTAGATTTCCTAATTCAGTGGATTACAGGTTTTTAAAATATGGCCTTATGGGTATCTGGATTTCCTCAGTGTCTGTTGTTATGTCCCCCTTTTCAGTTCTAATTTTGTTACTTTTTTTTTTTTTGGTTTGGATATTATCTTCCTGACTTTTAGTTAATTTGGATAAGGGTCTATAAATCTTAGATTATTTTTTCAGATAACCAACTCTTTGTTTCATTGAGTCTTTATATTGTTTTTGTTTGTTTCTGTTTCATTGATTTCATCCTGGGTATGATTATTTCTTGCTGTCTACTTTTAAATGTAGTTTCTTATTTTTGTTTTAGAGCAGTGGTTTTCAACCTGACAGTCACAACCCCTTTGGGAGTTCAAATAACCCTTTTATAGGAGTCGCATGTCAGATGTCCTGCATATCAGATATTGTAGTGTAGATATACACTACAATTCATAACAGTAGCAAAATTAATTATGAAGTAGCAACAAAAATAATGGTTTGGAGTCACCACAACATGAGGAACTATATAAAGGGTCTCAGAATTAGGAAGGGTGAGAACCACTGCTCTAGAGCTTTCAGCTGTGCTGTTACTAGTGTGTGATCTCTCCAGTTCTTAGCGTTATGAACTTGCCTCTTAGAACTACCTTGTGTCCCATAAGTTTGGATGTGTTGTGTATTCATTTTCATTTCAATTCTAGAAAATCTCTAATTTCTTTCTTGACCCATTTTTCATTCACTAGTGAGTTGTTCAGTTTCTATGAGTTAATAAGCTTTCTGTTGTTTATGTTGTTGTTTATATCCAGTTTTAATCTGTAGCGGTCAGATAGGATGCAGGGTTTTCTTACAATTATTGACTAGTGTGAGGTATTGAAGTTTTACTCTATTAGGGTGTGAGGGGTCAATATGTGACTTAAGCCATAGTATTCTTTTATGAACTTGGGTGCCCTTGTGTTTGGTTCATAGATGTTAAGAATTGCAGTGTTTGCTTGGTAGAATTATCATTTGATGAGTACTTAGTGTCCTTTCCCTATCTCTTCTGATTAGTTTTGGTTTGAAGTCTATTTTGTCGGGTATTAAAATGACCACACCAGCTTGCTTCTTAGGTCTACTTGCTTGGAATAGCTTTTCTCATACTTTTACCCTTAGGTGATGTCTGTCCTTGATGTTAAGATGTGTTTCTTGGGTAAAGTAGAAGGATTGATCCTGTTTGCACTTCTGTTCTGGTAATCTGTCTTTGAGGAATTGAGACCACTGATGTTGAGAGATTATCAATGAATAGAGTTTGTTGATTCATGGTGGTGGGTATGGGGAGGTGTTTCCCCTCTTTCCATTTGTTGTCTGGAATTATTTATTCCTTGTGTCTTCTTGGATGTAGTTAACCTCTAGGTTGGAGTTTTTCCTCCTAGCTCCATCAATAAGAGAGGAATTGTAGGTAGATATTGTTTAAATTGGCAAGTTTTTTTTTTCCCTCTATCTATGGTGATTGAAATTTTCTTCTATATTTTTGTTGAAAATATATTTTCTGTGCCTTTGACCTGGATTACTTTCCCTTCCTCTGTTTCTGTTATTCTTAGATTTGATCTCTTCATGGTTTCCCAGATTGCTGGATGTTTTATGCTAGGAGTTTTTAGATTTAACATTTTCTTTGACCAAGGTATTTATTTCTTCTCTCATGTCTTCAATGCCTGAAATTCTGTTATCCGTCTCTTGTATTCGGTTGCTGAGGCTTGTCTCTAAGGTTCCTGTTTGAGTTCATAAAATTTTCATTTCTAGATTTACCTCAGTTTATTGATTCGTTTCCTTCCGCTGTATGTTCGTGCTCTCATAGATACCATACTCATAAAGGCTGTTTTAAGGTCTTGCTCTGTGTGTCACGTATGTTGCAGTGTCGGGGCCTGCTGTGGTGGGCTCTTCTGGAGCTGCACTGACTTGACTGTTACTGTGTTTTCATGCTGCTGCCCGTCAAACCTCTCAGTGTCCGTTCTCCAACTGTCTTCCTGCATTTTATTGAGTTATAATACATTATTCTATCAACTTGGTACTCACATATTGAATCTTTGTCCTTATAATGTTCCAAGAAGAATATAAATTCAAGGCTGTTTTAAGAAAAATGTGACTCCATTACATCCACTTCTATAAGACTCATCAGTTTTGAAACTTTCACAAAAAATGAAATTTTTGTTCTAAAAGAACATTTCCTGAGCTTAATCAAGTATGTAGTACAGCTTGGACTTAATCAGTCTGTCTGTTAGCGATTAAATTAGCACAGTTATTTTTACCTTGTTTCCCCCATGACTCACCACACTCTCAAGCTTTTGTCTGTCCTCTCAGAATTTCAAGCATAATCTCTGGCAGTGGTGAGTCTTGGTATTCTCTTAAGTGGACTGGTAACGGTAAGCTCTTGCTTCCTTCTCTCCTCAGAATCCTGGCTGTCTGCCATGGAGTCATGTATAAACAGCTCTCAGCCTGGATGCTACATGGACTTCTTTTGGACCAGCATGAAGAGTTCTTTATAAAACAGGGTCCGTCTTCTGGTAATATCAGTGCCCAAGCGGAAGAGGATGAAGAGGATTTGGGTATTGGAGGACTGACGGGAAAACAGTTGCGAGAACTGCAGGACCTGGTGAGGGCAGAGCAGGAAGCCCAGGGCAGGCACTGGTTAGACACCTGCTGACTGCCTTCCATGAATGGATCACTTAGAAACACTGGGTTTTCTCTTAGAGACTACAAAATAGAAAGTGATTTTGAAATCCTTTTTTTTTCTTTTCTACATTACGTGCATTTGCAAGTATAGTGATAAGTTTATCTCTGCAAATATGAACTACCCTGTAGCTTTTCGTGTGGTGTGGAGTTACAGACTCCGCAGAGACTTGTATGTCCATATTCATTTGTTCATCTGTTGGCTCATTTCCCTTGTTAGATTCACTAAATGTCTGTTATGTGCCCAACTACAGAGACAAATGTAGTTCTTAATCCTTAAGAAGTGTATAATTGATGGGAAATAGAGAAAAGTGAGCAGTTACATCACAGTTACCACAAGCTCTGCCAAAGAGTGTAGCTATTCTTCCAAGATCTTGAAGTAAAGTTTTAAAACTAGAGAGGACTTTTCAGTATTTCTAAATTGCAGTTTGGTAAAACGGGTCACAACATGTCCAGGGATTGTGTATAATGGTAAAGGCTATTAAGAACAAGGCTCATTGGAAGAACCATGTGAATCTCAGGTAAAGCTCACGTATTTGGTGTGTATGGTAGAGGATTAAGGGAGATGGCAGTAGATGAAGGTGCTGAGTGAATCATTAACAAAATCCTTGTGCACAGAGTCCTTGTGCACAGAGTTCAGACTGAATGTGAAAAGTAAGTATGAGCAATTGGATGACTTCAGGAAAAGAGTGACAGACTTTATGATATGTCATTTTAGGTGCGATGTGGGAACCAGTTCTTAAAGACTAAGATCAGAAGCTGAGCATGGAGGTGCATATCAGTTCCTTATAGGACAGGCTAGAGCAGAGGGAGCACCATTAGTTTAAGGCCAGCCTGGCTGACAGAATGAGTGAGACCCTCTCTCTCCCTGCTCCAAATAACAACAAAAAGATGGCTGTGGTATTGCATAGCAGTAATCTCAGCATCCAAGAATCGGGGGCAGAAGAATTACCCCAAGTTTGAAGCCACCCCAGTCTACATAGGGACTTCTAAATCAGTCTGAGTTACAGAGTGAGACCCTGTCTCCAAAACAAAAACAAAAACCAAGAGCAGGGGCAAATAGACTAGTTAATAGAGGCTTGGGATTCTTAGGTAAAAAAAAATAATCATTCCAAGCATGGACCCAGTGAATGTGGAGGCAGACAGAAGCCTGAGAGGTGATTAGAAAATGGAATCCATAGCCCTTTAGAGACTGGCCGTGAGTCAAGAGAGAAGTTTAGCCTTTAGCAGTTAGACGCTAAGTGAATAGTGATGACAGGCAATGTGTATTGCTGGTGTTTGTTTTTGTGGGCTCAAACCTGAGGCCAGGCAAGTACTCTACCTTTGAGCTATATTCCCAGCTCAAGGACTAATATGAGATGTATTGAGTTTAGGGGGCCTGTGGGAAATGTCTAGTGGGCTCAGCCTGGAGGAGTAGTATAGCTTGCTCTGAAGCTAAGCACGGAGTGATCAGCAGCAGTCCACGGGAAGCTGCAAGAGGTTCTCTGTACAATGTCTAATAGAAGATCCACAGCATTGATAGTTTCAGGCCTGTTAAAACAACCTGCTAAGATGCCCAGTGAAGCCACATAAGATGCTTCTCTGAAAAATGTAGATCAAGAGAGAAGAGTCTGAGAGAGGTCTTGACAGCGAACACACACACATGAGGCCTGGAGAATTACATCAATTCATGGAATTGTGCAAATGAGGAAAGTAAGCACCTGCCCATCTGACATAGTAGTAAAGCTTTATATTTAAAAACCGTGCTAAGCTGAGGACTGACTCCATAGGTCAGAGTGCTTTTGCAAGTGTGAGGACCTGGGTTCAAATTCCCAAAACCCATGTTAAAGCCAGATGCTATAGTGTGAACACCTGTAATCTCAGTGCTCCTGCAGTGAGATGGAAGGCAGAAACAGGAGAATCCCTGGAAGTCTGAAGGCTAGCTAGTTTGGCATCACAGCAGAACAAGGAGATCTTGGTCTCAAGAAAGGAGGTGAGGACCAACACCTGCAGTTGTCCTCTGACCTCCACACATACGCTCTGGCCCATGTGTGCCCACACTGACACGCATTGTGTACACAAAAGTAAATTAAAAACAAAATAAAAAGAACCAAAACTCAGTGCTTTCCATCATGCCACTGTTCTCCATGAAAACAGAGTACGTTTCCAGAGCTGTAATTTAAGAATTGTACAACTTCAGATTTAAACCCTGCTTGCCAGTAACATAGATCATGGGTTAGAGGAGCTAAGACCTATCGTCATACTTCATGTGACAGGTTATTTCCTTGACTAGCGCCTAATTGAGGAAGAGAACATGCTGGCCCCGTCTCTGAAGCAGTTTTCCCTGCGGATGGAGATTTTACCATCCTACATTCCAGTGAGGGTTGCTGAAAAAATCCTCTTTGTTGGAGAATCTGTTCAGATGTTCGAGAATCAAAATGTGAACCTGACGAGGAAAGGTAAGAATCCCTGTGGGGCTGGAGAGCTGGCTCAGTGGTTCAGAGCACTGGTTGCTCTTTCAGGGGACCCAGGTTCAATTCCCAGCACCCACATGGCAGCTCACAACTGTCTGTAACTCTAGGATCCAACACCCTCACGCTTATGATGTATGTATACATGCATACAAGCAAAACACTAATAAAAAAATGAAAGAACACCTTAAAAAAAGAATCCTCTTGTTCTGTTGGCACTGCCCCAAAGCATGTTGGGTTAGAGTGACTGCCATGGCAGCTGTGGCCCGGCCACCCTGTCTAATGGCTCCTGTCTGACAGTAGTACCTTTGTACTCCACAGGCTCCATCTTGAAGAACCAGGAGGACACTTTTGCTGCAGAACTGCATCGGCTCAAGCAGCAGCCTCTCTTCAGCCTTGTGGATTTTGAGCAGGTGGTGGATCGAATTCGCAGCACCGTGGCTGAGGTGTGTCTTCTAATACTGTTCTAGAAGAAATGAGTTTAGAGAGAAGTAAAGGGCAAGAAGTAGAAAAAAGAGAAAGAGCTCTCTGTGGGGCTGCAGAAATGGCTCAGTGGTTAAGAGCACTGGATTCGACTCAGGTTTGATTCCCAGGACCCACATAGTAGCTCACAACCATCTGTAATTCCAGTTCCAGGGGATCCAGTGCTCTTTTCTGACCCCCACAGGCACTAGGCAGACATATTGTATACAGATACACATGTAGGCAAACACCCTTACACAGAAAATAAATAAAAACCCCCTTTGTTTTTAAAATAGAAGTAGAATTCAACCTTCTGCAGGTTTGTTTCAATTACTAATTTAATTGACTAGCAGGGAAACTTTAGTTATAATTTCTAACATTCATGAGTTTGGGTGATGAAAAGTGTGTGTGTGTTGTGTTTTAGTATCAACCATGTATTTCATTTGTATACAGGAATTTTAGGATAGCCAAGCAGACACAGTGATGGTCCAGCCCTTGAGACAAGTGGGAAGGGATGAATGAGTAGGGCTTTCTAGGTAGGTGCTAGTACTTCCTGAACTGAGGGCACTTACATTGGTGTGTTGATTATGAACTTCAAGATGAAAGCTTATGATTTATGTACTTAACTATATATGTTACTATTTTCACAATAGGGATTTTTAATTTGTGTGTATGTAAGAGTTTTTGTTTTAGTTATATCTTCAGATTGTTGTTTATTTAGAGAAATAGCAGTGCTAATTTATTGATGGTAATCTTACAGATTCTCAACTTGGCTGTAGTTGGACTTTTCTTTGGGCTGCCAACCAGCTTCCAAATAAAGACATGGAAACTTATTAATTACGAATGCTTGGTCTTAGCTTAGGCTTGTCCCATTTGCTCTTTTAACTTCATTTAACCTGTTTCTAGGCATCTATATTTTGCCTCATGGCTTTTTACTTTTCTTTCATTCTGTATGTCTTACTTTCCTGCTTCTTCCATGTCTGGCTGACTGGCCTCTGGGGTCTCCCTGGTATCTCTTTTCTTTCTTGCCTCATCCTACATTCCTCCTCCTACTTACTCTCCTTGCCCGGAAGTTCTGCCTGTACCTCTTCCCTCATTATTCGCTATTCAGCTTTTTATTATACTAGTCAGGTGCCTTAGACAGGCAAGGTAAAATAGCAACACATCTTTATGTAACTGAACAAATGCAAGCATCTTTACATAGTTAAACAAATATTCCGCAACATGAAGGGTGTTAATAGTTTGGTTTTTGTTTTGTTTTTTTGTTTGTTTGTTTGTTTGGTTGGTTTTTTGAGACAGGGTTTCTCTCTGTAGCCCTGGCTATACTTGAATTCACTCTGTAGACCAAGCTGGCTTCAAACTCACAGCAAGCCACCTGTGTCTGCCTCCCAAGTGCTGGAATTAAAGGCATGTGCCAACACTGCCTGGCAGTCTATAACTTTTTTTAAAAAAAGATTTATTTATTTATTATGTATACAGAGTTCTGTCTGCATGTATGCTTATATGCCAGAAGGCAGCACCAGATCTCATTATAGATGATTGTGAGACACCGTGTGGTTGCTGGGAATTGAACTCATAACCTCTGGAAGAGCGACCAGTACTCTTAACCTCTGAGCTATCTCTCCAGCCCAATATTTATAAAATGTATTAAAGATGACATCATCTGAAAGTAATGTCTTATAATAATTCCTCCAGTGTTAAACCTTTTCCCCCTACACTGTTGCTTCTTTTCATCTAGAATCTTTAATGATGCATTAGTCAGCTTGGCTTTGTTTGTATAAATCGTGTCAAACAATAGAGTGATAATGGATGTCTCTGGTTTCTTGACTCTAGAGATTATACAGCTAGTTACTGCATTGCTGTGAAATTTACTGTAGGCTTTTAGAACAGAAGTTTATTAAAGAATTCTCTTCCTACTTGACGGAGTTTTTATTTTAAGGGATGTTCAGTTTTATCAGCTGCAGACTATTATCTGTCTTGTTCCTTTGTTGTTGTTGTTGTTGTTAAAAAGTTAATATTAGGAATTGTTACTGAAAGTGTGAACCTCTCTAAAAAGTGATCTAAGCCAGGCTTTCTTCAGGAAGGAAAAACTACCAGTTGAGTAGGTTTGAAACTAAATTTACCATAAAATTTCTTCTTTCAACTTTGGGGGCCCATATGAAGGGACCAAGAGGCAGCACTGGGACTCTGAAACATGGCTGGGCTGGGTGGTTGGCAAAGCCATGTCTGAGTGAGCCTTGGAGACTCATGCTGCTGTTGGGCATAGCCTCTGCGGTCGCCACATCCCTCAGAATCTACAGTTGTATGAAGGCTCTCACTGGGCAGTGTTCTGGTACTTAGAGTGACATGATGGATTTTTCCAAGCACCGCTGCTGAAGCAGATTAATGACTTAAGCACCACCCTTAGAAAGAATTGAGACACAGAATTGTTAGTAAAGTTAGGTTAAAGTGTTTTCATTAGTGGCTTTGTGATGGAAAAGTCTTGGGGAACAATTTAAAATTTAGAAAGGCACATAGTTAAGCGAGGGACTCGTTGAGGTCAAGAAACAAGAACAATGACAGCCTGGCTATTGCTGACAAACCTTTCCTGCTAGCATGGGTTAGTGATCAAAAGTGTTGATTAATTCCTTATACCCATTTCTGCCCAGAGCTGCTTGATACAAAAACTATTGATGAGTGGGTCTGCACCCTGAGGATTTAAAGTAGAGATGACTGATTACTTTTCATATATTAAAGCTTAGATTTGTACCCAGGCGGTGGTGGCACACGCCTTTAATCCCAGCACATGGGAGGCAGAGGCAGGCTGATCTCTGTGAGTTCAAGGCAAGCCTGGTCTACAAGAGCTAGTTTAGTTCTAGGACAGACTCCCTGTCTCGAGAAACCAAAAAAAAAAAAAAAAAAAAAAAAAAGGTTTAGGTTTGTAATTCTTTAAAGATTTCTTGGTTGATTCTTTTTTTAAAATGCAGCCTGCCGGTGAAAGAACTAGCTGAGAAAAATATCTTGCTTGCTTACATGTTAATCTATAATAAGTTGGTTCAGTATGAATGTATGTGGGTTCTTAAAACAACTTGTAATGTGTAAAATGTTCACTCATGTAAGAGATATAGAAAACATTGTTTTTCACTTGTATTTATTGTAATCATTCACTTGAAAATAGAATGTAACCACATTGTAATTTTTATATTGCTTGAAAGATTTTGCTGGGGAAGAGAAGCTGTAAGGGAGAAAATAAAGGCATGAGAGAAGGAAAACACTAGGAAAGATGTAGAAGGAAGTAGCTAGGAGGAAGACATCTAGAGAGACAAGGAAAATACCAGGGTAGAAGAACAGAACAGAAAGAGTAGAGTAGAACAAACAACAAAAAGACTAATAAAATAAGAACTCATCCTTGGCCGTCAGAAAAGTCCTCATGTGTCTTGTCTGTCTGTCCAGTAGTTCTGCTCTGCATCTTTTCAGTTTCTCAGACGTGCTGAAGGCTTGCCATTCCTCAGCACCCTAGGTGAGATCTGGGTGTGTTTGAGATATGCGTGTGTGTTTAGATTTTTCTCCCGCAGATAGAAAAGTCAGGTTGACTCCGTGGACTTCAGTCCCTAGGCCTCTGAAGGCTAGTGCTCACACAGCAGTGTGTAACAATGTTGATATTCTGCAGCACTTAACTATCTCAGGTAGATTTAATTTTAAAAATAGTTACTTGTCTGAACTATGTTTTGTTTATTTAAATTTTGTCTTTTAAAAATTATTTTGTGTTTGTGGTATATGTATTTATGTTGCCTGTGTGTGCACACACACATGCACCCCAGAGGTCAGCCTCCGATGTCTTCTGTTTTCACTCTCCACCTTACTTTTTAGGACAGCGTCTCCCACAAAACCAAGGGTTTTTCTCCAGTTAGGCAGACTGGCTGCCAGTGAGTCCCCAGGCCCTACTGTGAGCTGTTTCCCAGCCTCTGCTGTAGGCATGAGCACTCTACCCAGCTTTTGCATGCGGACCTGAGACCTGAACTCTGGTCCCTGTGCTTGCTTAGCTTGCTTTCTTCACTGAGCCATCTCACTAGCCCCCATTTTCCTCATTATTGTTTCATCTTTTTAGGCTTTTATTAAGATTAATAAACTAATTAGAGCTAGCTTTTGTTTCTTATTTTCCCTTAATTTATAAGTTCTTTAGGTCATTTTTACTTGTCTTTCTCTTTTTCTTCTTATTTAAATATTAAGATATACTAACTTGAACACTAAACAAATTATGTATATGTGGAAAATTATGTAGTATTCAAGGCTTTTGTTTATTTATTTTTATTTTATGTGCAATGGTGTTTTCTCACGGGTGCTAGAATTACAGACAGTTGTGAGCTGTCAGGTGGGTGCTGGGAATTAAACCTGGGTCAGTGCTTTTAACTACTGAGCCGCTGTCTGTCTCTCCAGGCTCTCATGTAGTATTTCAATGCATGTATGAGTTGTATGATTTTTTTTCTTACATATTTGGGTGTTACGCCTGCATGTATATCTGCATCACATGCCCACCCGCCTGGTGTCCTCGGAGACCAGACAAGGGTACTAGAGTCCCTGGAACTGGGGTTATGAATGGTTGTGAGCCACCTTGTGGTTGCTGGGAATCAAACCCATATCCACTGGAAGACCAGCAGTACTCTTAACTGCTAAGCTATCTCTCCAGTCCTTTAAAAAAAAGGGGGGGGGGGGATTTTGCTCCATAAACAAGACTGGCCTGGAACTTGGTGAACATTTTCCTGCTACAGCCTCCCTGTTCTAGAATGACAAGCAGGTCTTTTTTTTTTTTTTAACTTTTCATAAATCGTGATCAAGAAGGGCAGGTGGTGGTAATGCGCGCCTTTAATCAAAGTACCCTCGAGGCAGAGGCAGGTGGGTCTCTGAGTTCAAAGCCAGTCTGGTCTATAGAGCAAGTTCCAGGACAGCTAGGACGACACAGAGAAACCCTGTCTCAAAACAAAACAAAACAAAAAGTTGATACAAAATTCACACAAACAGCATTGTAGATATTTTAAAATGATATCCAATCCAGTGGTTTTTAATTTCACAGTCGTATATACAGCTGTTACCATTAATTTCAGCACAGTTTTATCTTACATAGGTTTTTGTTTTGTTTCTCTCTGTTTAACTATCTGTTCATTACTAGGGTTAACTGAACTGGGTTCACTGTAATGAACTTAAGGGTTTTTGTTTGTTTTTGTTCTAATCTCATCACAGCACCTCTGGAAGCTAATGGTCGAGGAGTCAGACTTACTGGGTCAGCTGAAGGTAATAACTCTTGAGGTGATTGTGGAAAGCACTCTTGCCTAGACTTCTGTGGTAGGCTCACTTGTTTACGCAGGTGAGAAATCATATGTGATGCCACAGAGCTTCTGTACTCCATAAACATTCACGTTCACTTGCCTCTGTTATGCTCTGAATGCCATCAAACACAGAGTCCTCCCACAAGGCTGCCTGTATGCTTCTTGCTAAATACCAAGCCTGTGTCTTTCAGACTAATAGCATCTCTCTGATTCTTTCGGGTAGTAAGGGCCTCTGGGCTCTGATTTACTCAGTTGTATATTGAAATTCTTTCCTCAGATCATTAAAGACTTTTACCTTCTGGGACGAGGAGAACTGTTCCAGGCCTTCATTGACACAGCTCAACACATGTTAAAAACACCACCCACTGCAGTGACAGAGCATGGTAATTGTCCCGTGGCCCTGAGAATAACAGCTTGCTCAAGTTACAGGGTGTTTCTTGGCTGATGTTGTGTGCTGTATGTTTGCCTGCACAGGCCAGAAGAGCGGACTGAAGTCACAAGCATTTGTGAGCTACATGTGGGCATGTGGAAGAGAACCTGGGTCCTCTGCAGAAGCAGCCAGTGCTCTTAACTGCCAGTGCTCTAGCCACCTCAGCCTAACCTGGGAAAGTCTAGTTAGAGCTAAAGCTCCCTTGTGCTTGTGTTGTAACTGGGTCTCAGAACAAGTAAAAGAACGGTCTTCAGTACTGTTAAGACTTTGCTCCTGGGGCTGGAGAGATGGCTCAGAGGTTAAGAGCATTGCCTGCTCTTCCAAAGGTCCTGAGTTCAATTCCCCGCAACCACATGGTGGCTCACAACCATCCGTAATGGGGTTTGTGCCCTCTTCTGGCCTGCAGGCAGACACACAGACAGAATATTGTATACACAATAAATAAATAAATATTAAAAAGAAAAAGAAAAAAGACATTGTTCCTTACCTTTGTTGAACACCCCCACCCCGATCTATAACAGCCCAGCCTGGTCTGTAGCAGCAAATTAAAGAAGTCTAGTGAAGTGCTTTATTTTAATTGGCCCTTCCCGGGTCACATGGCAATCATTGTAACAATGAAGAAGTGAGGCCTTATTTAATGGCTGCCTCCTTCCATACACAAGAAGAGAATGTAGGAAGAATCCAAGCCAAGAAAAAGGAAATAGGAGGGAAATGGAGACTAGTGTTTTATAGTTTAATGAGACAATAGATATCTACTGTGCTTTTTGTTACAGATATCAGAAAAGCCAGTTCAGACTCATTTAAGCAAATAAAAAGGATAGAAATTATTGATTCTCATACTATCTCAAAGATAATTAGGTAAAACTTTGTCGTCTTGGCCAGCAGAACAGGCTCCAGCCCATTGGTTCTCGACCTTCCTAACCCTGTGACTCGTTAATACAGTAGTTCATGTCGTGGTGACACCCTGCCATAAAATTATTTTTGTTGCTACTTCATAACTAATTTTGCTACTATTACAAATCATAATGTCAGTATTCGATATGCAGGAATCAGATTTGGAACCCCCGTGAAAGGGTCATTCAACTAACTGCTGCTCTTGCCATATTTAAATGTTACTAAAACTGATCTCAAAAGAGCTGCATTCTTCTAGAGTCTGAAGAGAGCTTCTGGGTTGGCTTGGATCAGATCAAGTCTATAAAATGTCAGCTGTCAAGATCCATTTGATCATGCTGCCTCCCCAAAAACTGGATGTTGCCAACCCCGCTGACACTACAGGAATTGTACTAAGCAGGAGTGATTCTCAGGATTGTTATAACAAGGACAAGGAGACATTAATGCTGGTGAGACAGAAGCCACAGATTGTTGCTTTCCTATGTCTTTGTTGCAGATGTAAACGTGGCCTTTCAACAGTCAGCACACAAGGTGCTGCTAGATGACGACAACCTTCTCCCTCTGTTACACTTGACAATCGAGTATCATGGGAAGGACCATAAAGGTTTGTTGTTCTCCACTTGCCTCCTCTCTGCATCTTCTAGTTCTGGACCTTAGGGATCACTTAGTCTAGTTATCTAATTTTGTACAAGAACAAACATAATTCCAGAAAGGTTCAGCTCCTCTGTCCATAGGTTGTAGCATGAATAATAAAAACCCAGAGACAGATACTGGGGTTCAACCTGAAGATCAGAAAAGCAGAGCAGCCAGCGGCTGGCTCTTACTTCTACCTCAGACCGAAATGGTGATCCTGCCTCCAGGAATCTCAGAATGAGAATGAGCTGAGACTTGTCTCCTCCAGTCTTATATTTGTCTCTAGTGCTGGGGTTAAAGGCATGCACCACTACTACCAGGCTTCTGTGGCAAACTAGTGTGGCTACTGAGATTAAAGATGTGTGCCACCACTGCTTGGTCTGTATGGCTGACCAGCATGGCTGTCTTACTCTCTGATCTTCAGGCAAGTTTTATTTATTAAAATACAAATGAAATATCACTTACAATAGGGTTGTTTTTTTTTTTTGTTTTGTTTTTTTTGGTTTTTCGAGACAGGGTTTCTCTGTGGTTTTGGAGCCTGTCCTGGAACTAGCTCTTGTAGACCAGGCTGGTCTCGAACTCACAGAGATCCGCCTGCCTCTGCCTCCCTAGTGCTGGGATTAAAGGCATGCGCCACCGCCGCCCGGCTTACAATAGGTTTTTGAGATTGCGTCTATATTTTTGTCTAAAACACATCTCAGAAAAGCCCTCACAGAAGTTTCCTCCCCTCTACCTTTGTTGCCTCTATAAGTGCTGCTATTGAACACCACTGAGGCCTCATTTTATGTGTGCAGTTCATCTTGGTCTCTCTGGTTTTAATTAACCAAGGTATTTTTCATTATCTTCTTAACTTTAGCAGATGCCACCCAGCCAAAAGAAGGGCATTCTCGGGAAACGTCCCCTCGGGAAGCCCCTGCTTCCGGCTGGGCAGCTCTAGGTCTCTCCTACAAAGTACAGTGGCCACTACATATTCTCTTCACCCCAGCCGTCTTAGAAAAGTAAGTATTTCTGAGTTTTTCCCCAGTAAATATTTCCCACCTTATATCCAAGGGAAGAACTGTGAACAGCAATAAGATGGGTAGAAGTGAGCCAGTCGTCCAGCTGGTTTCTACACTAGTGAGCCAGAGGGTGCACACTTGCCTGTCTTCAGGAGCTAGATGGGTTCTAGTTTTTTGTTGTTATGAAAAAGACAAGATAAAAAGCAACTTGGGAGGAAAGGACTTATTTGGTGTATATGTCTAGATAACAGTTCTTCATTGAGGGAAGTCAGCCTAAGGAATTCATGGAGGAACAGAGGCAGAAACCACAGAGGGGTGCTTCTTATTAGCTTGCTCCTCAGTTTGCTCATTTTACTTTGTTATACATCCCAGACCCACCTGGTCAGGTGTGGTATCACAGTGCACTGAGCCCTTCCACATCAATCATGAACACCAAGAACACACCCCACAGATTTGCCCACAGCCCAGTCTGATTAAAGCAGTCTTAACTGAAGGTCCCTGTTCTAGGTAACTCCAGCTTCTGTCAAGTTGACCAAAACTAAAACAGCAAACAGCAGCTCACATTAATAAGCCCTGAAACAATAGTTCTTGGGAGGAGCACTGCCCGTACACGGTGGGACCCAAGATCCCCAGGAAGGAGATGAGAAAAGCACACTGCACTCTGAGAAAGGGTGAGGAACCCCATGCTCTGTGGCTACAGGAATGAGGAAGACATCTCTTTTCAGCGTTCCCCCGGCTAGCTTGTTCTCCACAACATGCCTACTGTTTTACAATAATGAGAAACTGGGCAGACTGGGCATAAGCAGGAAATGGTGAGGCTGTTGGAGGATTCTGCAACAGGTTCAGAGCTCACCAGGTGTACAGGCCTTATCCAGAGACTCAAAGACTTAACAGCTCACAGATGCCCACAGTCCTAGTTTGAGACAGGGTGTGTGTGTGTTTATAAAATTTAATGTTTTAATATAAAATAAAAATATTTTAATATTTACACTTTAAGGTATTTGGTTTTTAATATTTAATAAATATTTTAATGTCTTTTTAATAAGTATGTATATGGGGTATGTGTGATGTGAATGACTGCAGGATCAAGAGGACACTGGCGCTCTTACTGAGGCTTAGTTATTGTGTTGCATAGCTGAAATTCATTTCACTTTCTCACCACTCTTCTAGCCTGCTTGTCTGTGTGTGAAGGGATGTTAGATTGAGGTTCATATCTCAGTGATGCTTCTGTCATAGGTACAATGTTGTTTTCAAGTACTTACTGAGTGTGCGCCGTGTCCAGGCTGAACTACAGCACTGCTGGGCTCTTCAGATGCAGCGCAAGCACCTCAAATCTAACCAGACAGATGCAGTCAAGTGGCGCCTAAGAAATCACATGGCCTTCTTAGTAGATAATCTTCAGTACTATCTCCAGGTATGTTCTGAGCGGTTTATGGAAGAGGTGGGAAAGGAGCCTAGAGAACACTGAGATGGGGCAGTTCTGTATCTGGTAAAATGCTGCAGTTGGAGAAAATTTAGGAGTTACATCACTAGGTATGTTTCTTGTCATTTTAAGGGGAAATGGATATCCATAGATAAAGGGATTTAGGCTTCAGGATACTTGTTTGCCAGATATTTTGGAATTCTCACGCATGTCCAGTCTTTTGACATTGTAACATGACATCATTTACCGAGTTCACACCCAAAAACCATGCAACAGTTACCACGCCCCTTCCCTCCCAAAGAATCTCATTTTAGAATTTTGTGCTGCCCCTTGACTACATGTAGCCCATACCTGTCCTTGGCTACATGTTCGACAAGCTTCTTGTTGCTAACCATTTCAGTCAGTGGAAGGGATGAGGCGTGAGTGGATTAGGCCGGGATAGGGGAGAGTGGTCTGCAAAGACATTTGAAGCTATTAAAAATTACACACCATGGAGCTAGAAAGATGGCTTAGCAGTTAAGAATGCTAACCACATGTGCAGAGGACCCAGGTTGGGTTCTTAACACCCACATGGTAGCTGACAACACCAGTAGCTCTAATCCAATAACTGTAGTCCCAGAGGATCTGACACCCTCTTCTGACCTCCGTGGGCACCAGGTATACATGTGATATACATACACAGATGCAAGCAAAACGTGTAATTTATATATATATATTTGCACAACCATGACTGGGAATATAGCTCAATTGGTAGAATACTTACATAGCATACAGGAAGAGTATGATGGTACCAGTCTATAATCCCAACACTTGATAGGTAGAAGCAAGAGGATCAGAAGTTCAAGGTCATCCTTAGCTATACAGTGAGTTTGAGGCTGGCCTGGCCTACATAAGACCCTGTCTCAAAAACAGAAATTATACAGTCAATCAGACCTGTTGACATACAACTATAACATCCACACTGGGAAGTGTCAGGAAGGAGAATCATAAAGTCTGGGCTATAGCAAGACCCTATGTCAAAAGAAACAGATGACAGGGTATGAGGCTCAGTGCTACAGCTTCTTCTTGCATACACAAGGCCCCAGCAACACACACACTTTACAAGGCTCAGCAATTGAAGTATGTCTTTGGTCAGCCTAAAGTGGCTAGAAGGAAGATGAGGGCTGGTGAGATGATTGAGTGGTGAAGGCTAGAGCCACCAAACCTGATGACCTGGGACCTACATGGTAGAAGGAGACTGGAACAGACCCTGGAAAACTGTCCTTTGCCCTTCATATGTACCCTGCAGCATGAACAATTCTCACACACACACACACTCATACTAAAAGGTGAGAAGAACCATAAAACAGAGCACTCAGGATGTGCCAGGTGCTAAAACAAATTATCTGTCTGTCAGGTAGATGTGCTGGAGTCTCAGTTCTCACAGCTTCTTCATCAGATCAATTCTACGCGGGACTTTGAGAGCATCCGATTGGCACACGATCACTTCCTAAGCAATCTTTTGGCACAGTCCTTTATTTTGCTGAAACCTGTAAGTAAGAGCGGTCGGTTTCTGGAGAGTACTTCTAATATATTCCTTCAGGCTCTTAGAATTGACAAAATATGAAACTTATTAAGTCCTTGTTCAATTCCATTTTTACAAAATAAAGAGGCAGCAGTAAAAGGGAACTGAAATGTTGTTCCACAGGGAGTGGTGAGCAGGGGTAGATAAAGAACTAGGTATTTAATCCCCAGGAGAAATTAGTTACAGAAGTCTTCCTGCCTCTACAGCACCAGGATCAACCAATAATTTGAAAGTTTTCTTCATAGGCACATAGTGTCTTATTCTGAGTGTGTGTCCCATCTGCAAGTACACACATTTAGCACTTTTGTGGAAGCTCTCCTCAACTCTGACTACATCCTGGAGTCATCTGTGACCTTGTGACAATCTAAGGCCAAAGGACATCTAAGTCAAACGTGTAGATTGGGGTCCAGGCATAAGTAATTTTTAAAGCACACAGCTGGTTCCAATCCTAAAATGAAAAGTGAGAAACTGAAATAATCCCTATAGTGTTTATACTTGAATGTCTGCTGTGAACAAGTTGTACTGCTCAGGGCGCCAACCATAAATGGTATAGGCTTCTTTTTGCTCTGGTATTTGGGGCTGTTACTTGCCAAATAAGGGAAGAATAACTAAAGTAGTCAGTATCTCAAAGGGTTCTGTGAGCTAAAAAAAAAACCACAGCAGTGATAGGCACTGTTCTTACATGGCATGGGTGTATCCTGAGGAAAAGCAGAACATCAGAACAGGTCATCATAATGAAGTCTTTATTGAGTGCTTACTGTATGCAAGGCACTGGGGATACAAAGAGGTATAAGTCATGGCTCTGCCCTTAAGGAGCTCACAATCTAGTTGGAAAAACAAGATGTACATACAAAAGTCAGCAACAGCACACGTGACCTGGACAATTGCCAGTAAACAACACAGATACTACAACAGAGAAAGGCGGAGTTCACTAAAGGCTGCAGTGGGGAAGGACCATTTCACAGAATGGGACTTGACTGGTACTAAAGAGAAGAGAAATCCCAGGGAACAGTGCTCATAGCTCAAAGGCAAGAGCACGGGCAGTGTGTCTGATAAAGGATGGTGAGCTACTAGCTAGTAGAGTGGAGGCTTTGTGCAGGGGGACAAAGAATGCAGCAATCCCAGGAAGGGATGTTCATTTGCATGTTGTTTGGGAGGGCTAGACAACCTTGAGGGTAGGTAGTGTCTGGAGTTCAGACAGGGGAGGTCAGCTATTAGGACTATTTTCCCAAACCTTGCATTTTCAGAAGTTTCTTCCTTCATTTCCTAACACCAACTATATTTTTTGGGTAGGTGTTTCACTGCCTGAATGAAATCCTAGATCTCTGTCACAGTTTTTGTTCACTGGTCAGTCAGAACCTGGGTCCACTGGATGAACGGGGGGCTGCCCAGCTGAGCATTCTTGTGAAGGTGAGTCTGCCTGGCCACTGGCTGCATGCTCCTACCCCCACCCCGCTGAGCAAACAGCCTTTGCTCTGGCCCAATAAAGCCTATCCCAGAACAGACAAAGAAATGACAAGATAAAAAGATAAAGCGTTGCTATCAGTGGATACTGAAGATGATTAATGTACTGCCTCACAGTGTTCAGAAATAGTCCAGCCCTGAATAGGTTCAGCCCACCAAGTATGCACTGGCTTTGTGCTCATTTTCTCACACCCCACTTCCTCCCTGAACCGGCCTCCCAGCTCGCTTGTAATTATAATCTGAGACTATATTTATCTCCTGTAACAAAGCAAGCTCAGTGCAATCCCGGTATGTGATAGAATATATTAATCTGAAATGAGCTTCAGATTCTTACTAATGAGAAAGTACTTTCATGGAAGTCATGCATTCACGGACATGGCATTAAGAAGTCAGAGTCGTTTTAGGAGCTGACAGAAATGGGAATGTGGTCCTGAGAGGACCCCAGGCGCCTAGCACTCTGCATGGGTAGTGACAGCTTGGGTCTCTCAACAGGGCTTTAGTCGCCAGTCTTCACTCCTCTTCAAGATTCTCTCCAGTGTTCGGAATCACCAGATCAATTCAGATTTGGCTCAGTTACTGCTCCGGCTAGATTATAACAAGTATTATACCCAGGCTGGTGGGACTCTGGGCAGGTAAGAATAATCCTTGGGGAACTCATTAGATTTGGGGGAGGAAGTTAATGAGTTGTAAAAGTCCAAAATGGAACTCTAACCTTCATCTACAAACGCCCTCATTTTATAAGCAAGGCTCAGAGATACAGGAAGTAGGGGGAGGGGAGTTATTTCATAATTTTTCTGGAGATTATGTAAAAATCATCAGCATGGTGAAATACTACAGCTGAGGGTGAGTTCTGTGTTAGATTATGTATGTTCTAAGGGGCAGTATGGCTTGCACAATCTGCTCTGACACGTACTAGCAGTGCAGCTGTGGCACCATGCTTCACTGGCCACTGCCTCTTCTAGACTTCTTTAAATCTAATAATAATGAGATCCAGTGGTAGCTGGCTCCTCAGCGGTGTCATTCTTTCTAGTTTTAGAAGCCAGACATCATCTGGAGTATCAAGGTAACATCAGCTGTATCTCAGAGACCATGCTTCTTGGGAAAGCATAGCATTTAATGAAACTTTTTTTCCTTTTTATAGTTTTGGGATGTGAAAACTGGTTCTTAAAATGAAGTAACCATCAGTCCTACCACACTCTGATGTCTGTAATAAGCCTCCCCAGGCATCACAAGATGCCTGCAGACTGGTGAAAGGATGCTACCTTTTCTTCTAGAAGCAGTCCAGAGGTGTAAGTCCTCCCTACCATTCCTGTAGGGGAACTGGGGCCAGCTATCTCTCAACCACTCAAAGGCTTTGTTCCTTTACACTAAGACATCTGTTGGGTGGGTTCACTTGTGCAACAGCGGTGTATTGAGCATTTACTATGTACCTATGGACTCTTCAAGGTATGGAAGAGTCCACAGAGAACAATGGGAACCAATAAAATGTTTAGGATTGGTTCACATGTAAAAAAGGAATTCTTCTTATGTAAAGGTCAGCATCTAGTTATTACCACCAACTTAGAAAAGACTTTCCCTCCTCTGTACCACATAATTTATAACTATACAGACTGTCTTTAGTTTTCAGAAATTTAAGAGCCTCCCTCCTTTAAGGATATTCAAAACCTGACCTCAACAATTCAGCCAGTAGGTTCTCTAATTGTTTCAGACTGGTAATAGGGGGTTAGTTCTAGCTAAAGATGACAGCGGTCAAATTGTTCAGATGTTAGACAGTGAAAATTGCAAACTTCTCCCTATGCTCAGATAGTGAAGTCACTAATGTTCCTATCAGCATAAACAAAGGAAATACTCCATTAACATACCTGCCCTCCACAATGGACAAGAGTGCAGTCTTTGGCCTGTCTGTAGTCCTGCTTGTTCTCTTCTGTACCACCCCTGTGAAAGCCTGTACTTGTCAACTACAGAGGATCCCTTCCATTGTTACCTCTAGAGGCAAAGCATGGCAGACATGGCCTACTGCTTGTTTTTATAAATAAAGTATTATTCAAACAATCACACATACTCATTTACCTAATGTCTATGATTGATTTCATCTCACAGCAAAAGACAAGAAATTGTGACAGACGAAATGACTGTAAAGCCTAAAGTATTTACTGTTTGGCTCTTTCTAGAGAACATAAAGACTAGTAAGTAGCCTTGATTTAGAGAGTGACAGGTTGTTTGTTAATGGGGACAGTGTTGAGTGCCAGGAAGGAATGGCTTCCAGCAGTTGTGACAGTTAACGCTTGCTTTACAGAAAATTGTCACTGTCCATTCATACCAAGTTGGTCATCTTCCCTTTCAGCTCTGAGTACCACAGATCAGCTGTTAATAAGCTCAGGTCTTACTGGTCTTGATACCCAGAGTGTCCTCAACCCCATTCAACTTTGGCACTACTGTTTTTATCTAGGCCCTCTTGTACTCTAAGCAGAACATTTTAGATGGCCTGGGATAACCTTGTGACTTTGACAGTGGTGCCACAGGATAAATTTCATTTCTGCATTTTTATTTTCCTTTGTTTGCTGTACTGCTAAAGTGATGATTAAGCCTGCTGGGAAACTTAAGATCCTATAGTACCATGTTCTGAGATTAAGCTCAAAGAAACAGATGAAGAAATCTCAAGTTACTACAACCAAAGAGAGTCAACATTTATTTTATCATAAAAGTTCAGCAAATAAAACTATGTACAAGATTCATGCAAAGAATACAATTCCACACAAGACACACTTAAAACCTGATTAAAACACAATCTCCACAATAGCAGGGATAAAACCAGTAAGACCAAGTATCTTCAGTGAGAAACATAATCATGTTTATATTTTGGATGCTGTTTGAATCCAATTCTCTCCCCAACAATGAGGCACTGGATCACCCACTCTTGTGACACCACAGGCAGCTGCAAGGCTTCAGCACACTTGAGCACCGAGGCTGGGCATGAGGGGTCTGTCACCACCACATCAAATACCCCTAAAGCAATGTCTGCAAGAAGTAGGGGGAAGTGAATGAGGAAAGAACACTCAGTTTAGCTCTTATTAAAAGAACAGGTGCCTTCTAGCCAGTATTCCTACTCTGCCAACCAAAGCCCTCTTACAGATACTGTATATTCATAGCCTAAAATAAAAGTTGTCATCACCACTTGCTAACCTTGTAGACCTAATAAACAGAAATGCCACTGGAGACTATAAAAGCAGAAACAGCTTTGTCCTTCTCTTACACTAACCCATCCTTTTTGAAGATGGGACTTCTCTTAAAAATAATGACTGAGACTTGGACCACACAGGCTAACAGCTGTGAGTCTATGGACATCCCTGGAATGACAGCGAACACACACTTTCCAGGTACCTTTGTTATGGGCACTTGAATGGTGCTGCTTCACGGAGGCTGCCCCTCCAGTCATGAGGATCTCAGACCAGAGCTCCAGGAAATTCTGTTGTTGATCTGACACCAAGAGTACCTTCAGATTCTGGAAAGGGTTTTCGCGGGGTTGCCTATGAAGGAGTTGGAGATGCAGTGTTTGGGAACTGGAAAGAACCTTAGTATGACCCGTCATAACTAACAGTTAGCTCATCTGCAAAGGCACTCACTCCTGCACATCCGAATGCTTTCCTAACTAGGTCACGTAGTGGAATAAGTCCTGCCTCTCTTCTGATGAGGTATGCACTCTGGGATCCTAGACTTTGTTAATAAGCCAATCAAGTTATGCTTCTGAGTTCCCTCCCGTTTAATGATTGAAACTTAATCCTAATCTCAGTGCTTCCACTAATAGGGATACTGGACCTAATCTTCCCACATCTTCGGAAGGTTCCCAGCCAATGTAGAATGAGACGCTAGCAATCAAGTACTTGACTACAGAAATCATTTCAGATGTCTATAGACATTCCAGTTTCTAGTAACACTGTTTTCCCAACTAGACTACTAGACTTTCCTTAAAAGCTAGTCTTCCTATTGTCTCAGCTCTAGACGGGCTCCCAAACACTCACCAATCCAGAATTCTCTGCTCCTCAAGGCTATATCCAGCAGGCAGCAGGTAATTACGGTAGTTTTGGAGCTGGTTGGCATGGCAACTGTCATGGACCCAGACATGAGACACACAAGGAATTCCACTGGCAAGGCACAGGAAGTACTTCCGGGTTCGACAATGCTGATCCGCAATTAGGAGACACTGGTAGGCTGTGTTACACTGGAAGAAAAGGAGCCCAGCTGACAGGTCTGGTGGTGTCTAGGGAAACCTTTCCTGACTGCACCTGATATATACCCTCGAGAGCCAATATGAAGAATTCTAGTTGGTATCAAAAATACCATTTAATCTGTGTTCGTACCTAAGGCTGTGTTGTTCACTGAGAAGCCCAAACTGCTTTCTGAAACATTTACCCTATCACACCTATGGCTTTTGGAAGACCTAAATCTCAAGGGTCAACCATACCAGGTACCCACTCAACCTTCCAGGCTAGAGAATCGGCAAAACCAATAGCTCTATTGCTTTCTCAACACCACTACCACCTAACCCCGGGTTCTAGCTTCTCTTCCTGTACAATGAAAATGCTGGGCTGAGGTGGCAGAATGGCACAGCACTCTGAAATTCAGCCAACTTCCCAAACCCCTCTTGGCCCTTTTCTCAATACAGAAAGTGGGTAGCCAGAAAAAAAACTGCCTCACCTGGGCTTCATTGAAGTCTTCAAGGATATACCCAGCTCCTGCTCGAAGCTGGCATTCTGTATACTGCTTGTTGAAAGGAGGAATTTCTAAAAATTCTATATAGACAGAAAATAACCAAATTATTTTTATTAATATTGGTTGGTTTCCTAGGTGCTACTTTAATGCCTATTTGTAACTGCTGCTTCCTTTTCTATTCTGCAGTTATCTATAAAGGCTTAGACAGACACAGATTTATTAATTTGAGGGACTCCCGTTATTCAGTCAGCTTTCTGAGCTATACAGCACCAAGCAACACACGCTTATATGGAACTGCTGTGTGAAGTCTGGTTTCAAGGGCTAGGTTGTTATAGCAATACTGGAAAAACAAGGCTGCAAACCATCTTTAACATAATGCCAAGCAGCTGCAGGGACTCCTAACACTGAGATCACGCTAGGTACCTATCTGAATTGTGTGACACAAACTACATCTGCTCTCATAGCCCAGCTGCCCATCACCAGAGCATCTCTACTCAGATTTTTCATATGCAGCTTCCAAACCATAGAAATCTTAAATGTAGCTCCCTGTCTCTTCCCGTGCCCTGTGCCGTATGTTTCTGAGGGTAGAACTGGCGAGTAGTTAGGAATAATTAAAGTCATAACACATCTTCAGTTGTACCATTTTATATCAATCATATTCCTTCATTTTTATTCCTTTCTTGCAAGACTCAACATTAGTCAAAACTCTGCCTGTCTTTTTATTTATTTATTTATTTATTTATTTATTTATTTATTTATTTATTTTTTCAGGGCAGGGTTTCTCTATTGTAGCCTGGCTGTCCTGGAACTCACTGAAATCCGTCTGCCTCCCTGATTGCTGGGATTAAAGGCGTATACCACCACCGCCACCGGCCTAACTCTAATTTATAAACAACATTCTATCTAGTTCTTAGCTTGGACAGACATCTGGAGATTTCTGTCACTCACTATATTTGATCTACACATTGTCTCCCATACCACACACGTGTCAGACCTCTGAGATACATGTCAGCCCACTAGACTACAGACTCCACATAGACACAGAGTGAGAGATGCCACATAATTTTAAGGTTAATGAGAGGTCCAAGAATTGAAAGGGCCTAGAAGCTAATTTCCTAGGGCACTGGGGACACCACAATCCCTTCTATTCAGAATAAAACTCATCCTCCTTTATTATGTATACAACATTCTGCCTCCATGTATGCCTGCTGGCCAGAAGAGGGCGCCAGATCTCATTACAGATGGCTGTGAGCCACCATGTGGTTGCCGGGAATTGAACTCAGGACCTCTGGATTTTCTTAAGTAGGTAGAAACATGGTTGACTTGTATGGTTCTAGGAAGGTAAAGCCAGCACCGTGTTCTAATCCCATCTGCCATTATTGTTGAAAAAAAGCAATTTAACTTTGATGGATTTTTATCATTCATTTTATATATGAAGAACGAGACTCCCTAGGCCAGGAAGATAACTCAGCAGGCAAAGGCACCACCAAGCCTGGAAACTTGAGTTTGACTCCCTGGGACCCATTAAGGTAGGAGGAAAGAGAACTGATTCTTCCAAGTTGCCCTGTGATTTCCACACGTGTACATATACAAATATACCCATGTATAAATCTATAAGTATATATCTGAGTGTGTACCTATATCTATGTAGTATGTAAATTAACAAAACAAAAAAACCTGTCTCCCAGCTGCTTACCAAGACTTATCTTGAGAACCACTCACTGAGAATTTTGTGAAAATCTACAGATCAGAAGTAGGGCACAAGTTAATTTTACTTAGTTGACCAGAATCATGGTAAACACTGACCCACTCCCCCCTGCCTTAACAAAAAGAACCACTGCCTCACAAAGGAAATGGCAAGACAGTGCATGGATCAGAGCCCCTGGGAACCTACCCTCCTCTTCTTCACTGCTTCCTGTAGGCCCATCTAGTAGTTTAGAGCGGCTGGTCAACTTGTCACTAGTTGTGGCCATGGTGAGGAGAAAGGCATAGCCCAGAAACAAGGTCTTGTTGAGGGGCAGGGGCCCTCTTGGCTCTTCCAGGACAGAAGGTTCACCTGTGTTGTCTGCACTCTCACAGGGGCTCACAAATTCTCCTGCCCCCACTGTACCTAGAAAGGACAAAGCACAGTTACTGAAATGATACACACAGACAAAGGCCCAGCACTGAGGATGACTTGATAAGCCATGTCCTAATGAGCTTGTCTATGCTATGACCCAAAGACCAATTAAAACCAATCATTGTAAGTGGCCAACAACCAAGGACCAAATTTACAATGAAGACAAAACATTTAAACCTAAAATGACCATTACAGTGGGCAGTCAGCTGTTTTCATGTATGGAAATGAACTG